CAGCCACAACAAAAGAGAATGGTAATTAAAACGTTGGTTGAGAGAGCACGACGTATCTGTGAAGCTGAGAGTCTTCCTGAGGAACTCGGTGACCTAAAAAATGCCTTTAAAGGGAATGGGTACATTGAAAGAGAATTCGAGAGGCCATACGACTTAGGAGAGACAACGCAAAGTAACCCCAGCTAGGCTAGTCAAGAGACCAGCTTTCCTTCCTTAGCTAGACTAGTCAAGGAAACAGCTTTCCTTTCTTATGTTGAAAATTTTACAGGCCTGATTGGGAGAATCTTAGAGAAACACGACGTAAAGCCAATATTCAGGTCAATAAAAACCACCAGAAAAAGTCTAAGATCAGCCAGTCCCTAGACAACATTCAGCAACACCCGAGATATACCGGATTCCTTATAGCTGCGGGTCAGTCTACATTGGAACCACGGAAAGAAGTGTAGGTACCCGTTTCTCTAAACACAAGATAAATTGTCGACTCGGACAAACTGACAAATCAGCTGTAGCTGAACATATTCTCAACAAAGATGGCACTCGCATTATCACATTCGAAGATGAAACTCAAAAGTACTATTTAAAGTACTATTCAAAAACACAAAGATAAATTCAATAGAAAAAAAGAGGCAATGAATAACCATATGTTTACCACAGTAGGAAACAACACGTTAGGCCTAAAAATAATGCAGATCATGGCTAAGCAAGCAAAACAAGTTGTAATATACTATATATTAAGTCCAGTAGTACACATTTTGTGTATTGTACCAAAAAGTCGTAATTAAATCATTTTAAATATTCTCTACTATTCTGCTGAATTTATCCTTACTACAAAATCAAAACCGTTATGTGAAGCTTCTAAAATAGGAGTATCAAACTAGACAAAGGTGAGCAGGAGTTGAAATAGAACCAAAAGGGGGTACAAGCAAAATTGAATCAAAATGGAATTAAAATATATAAGGTTTTCAAACCATAACAAATGTTTCGGTATGCAGTAGCTTCTTCGAACAGAAATAATTATTCCTGTCTACATCTACTGTGACGAAACATTTCAATGAGCTTGCAAAAGAAATAAATGAGTCGGCTAATTTAGCATGTAGCTTGTAGATGATAGATATTGTTTACACATTGAATTAATTTTTTTGTCTTTGATAATATTATTGTAAATCATGCCCTAAAGAAAATAACGCCGGCCGCCCCAAACCAATTGTGACGCAGCTAAGAACGCGCAAATGTACTATTTTTGCTGCCGCTCTAGATGTAGCGAGAATAATGCTACCGATTTTTCAGTTTGCACCCTATTCGTAGTGATAATTTCAATGGATATCATTATGCGGATCTCATTATGCTCCACCGTGTGGTGTCGATGAATGAGATTTGCATTCTAGGCTACCAGGTAGAGAACCGGCAGTATCCGACAGCGACTGCTTGGTTTGGCTGGAAATATTCCCGTGCGATAAAGTTTTCGGAAACTTAGACCTGTTAACAGTCAATCGGGTTGAACTTTAGTTCATAACAACCAAATTTATTTTTCATATGGCCTTCAGCAGTCGAAGAAACCTCAGTATTTGCGTTTATCCCAGTTGGTTGGCCAATAATTGACTACAGTGAACAATTATCAAACATAATTTTATTTCACTTTGAATACAACAAATACTTCAACTATTATTCGGATATCTATCGCCTTACTAGATCACTTCGCGTACCGCACTGTAACTTCCATTTGACTGTGTCGATAGGCTCGTGGCTAACGTTCATTTATCGTAATCGAATGCAGTAGAAATTTCGCCAAAGTTCCATCGAAATCGGTAGCATTATTCTCGCTGCATCTAGAGCGGCAGCGAACATCGTACATTAGCGCGCTCTCAGCTACGTCTCAGTCACGATTGGTTTATGGCTACCAGTGGCGGCCGACGTTATTTTCTTTCGGGCATGATTTACAACAGTATTCTGTACATGTATCCTAATGACAAATCCTTATTTGAACCATTTTTGTTTCAGAACCACTATAAATATATTCCTCTGCATCACTCAGATGGGGTTCTGCTGCGTTTACTTCGTGTTCGTGGCAGCGAACCTCCACGATGTTGTGAAACACTACTTTTTCGACATGAGTGTTCACTGGTATTTGCTGCTTCTCCTGCTCCCTATGATACTGTTGAACTGGGTGAAAAGCTTGAAGTATTTGACACCAGCCTCGCTGTTCGCATCTATAGTCACCTGTACTGGGCTTGTCATCACTTTTTTCTACATGCTTCAAGGTTTGCCAAACATGTCGTCGGTGCATGCGTTCTCTTCTTGGAGTCAACTGCCGCTTTATTTTGGAACTGCCATATACGCATTCGAAGGAATCGGGATGGTAAGTAGTATTGAATGTAATTATATTCGTTCATCCTCAATGAACTCTTTTCCATAAAGCAAATTTGTATGAAAGTACAGGGTTTCAATTTGGAAACTGCTGAACCTCAACATCTTCTTATGACATGAAAAATCGTAAATTTTATTACCAAATGGAACAATTTCCTGGAATATTTTCTTGTTGCAGTTCCACCTCCTAAAAGTGGTAGACCTCAGAGATATATTTGAGGTCCATTATTGTAATTTTTTTTTCGATTAAATTAATCCTTTAATGCTGTAGCATATAATCATTACAATGGAAAATAAAGTAATACAAATTATGAAACAGCAATAAAAATTAATTGGCGCTCCGGGACGGCTTGATTGATTCCAGTGATGTATTTGCTTTTGCAACTGCAGGAAAACCCGGAAAAAATCTGCAGCACCACATCATCTACTATTTATTATTTATAGAAGTAATATCATTAAGGCCTACGCAAATGATACTAAAATCTCTTGAAATTTACATTGTTCACTGCTATGCCGACGATACACAGATTTATTTTATAAACTTTCTATCCAGGGGATGTGGTAATTGCCTGTAATTTCACTAATGAAGATCTTCACAACTTCATACAAAAAGCATCAATTCATTTTCTTCAGATAAATTCTAATAAATCTAACATAATGTTATTTGATACACACATAATGTGTGGACTTTTGAGTTTGGAGTGTCTACATGACAGAATGGTACTGGATACAGCCTGTAAAGTCGTCAGGAGTTCGGAGCATTTCTCCTTAGGGCAGCTGCCCGAGCAGCTGATCAACTCGGTATAGTTTTCGACTCCGAACGAGGTGACTACAACTCTGTCACCGAGTTGGAACCCGTTCAGCAAAAAGCTCAGATAAAAGCCGCAGAGATCACCTTACTTCTGCGGAGAGTTTTCAGCTCCTGGCGAGACGAATATCGTCAGAAAAGAGGAGGAAAAACGGATCACTTTCTGACTACTTTTTCACCCCAAAATGCTGAAATCACCAAATGTTAAAATATTACTTTCAATTTGTATAACTTATATACTTTAAAATAATAACACTTTGACAATAATATTTTATCTTCGACAATATCTTTCAAGCTGTGTATCTTATATTTCTTAGAATAGTAACACATTGTCAATGAGATTTCATCTTCAACAATAAAGTACATTTTGATTTGATTGCAATAATTGATAGTTACGTACAGCGCCATCTGCCTGCGAATAGATCAAGAAATATCAATTAGGTTACGAACAGCGCCATCTGCCCTCGAATAGATCAATCAATAATGCCGATAATTCTGTCAATGCAGATCATGATCTTGAGAGTCACACATAAACATCTATACAAGCAATTATACATACATACATACAGGTGAAGCTAATATAAAGCGTGTAAAACTGAATACCAATTCATAAAGGGCAAAACATTACTGCATTTGATAAATTAGCTTTTTTAAAAAAAATCTAATGTGTCAGTAACTTGAATTTATAAAATTTTGTGTATGAAAATAAATATGTAGCATCTGGTGACATTTTAAAGATTATCCATTTTCTTTATCCAACCTATTTAAATCAAAACAATATAATTTGTAATTATTATTTGTCTTTTAATGTAAATCAATATTGACACGTCGCCATGATAAGTATACAAATAGAATAGGTTTCCGCGGTTAGAAATTTCAACATCTGAATTTCGGGTTGAACCGCCCTCAAAATTTTGCATTGTTCGACGTTTTTCTGGTCTTGCCAAACCTTCGAGACGGTATGACCCATGTTTCATTCAAATAAAAAATAGATTTACTCAGTGTGGCTTTCTTTCTCTTGAATAGTGTTAGGAATCACACGTTAAAAGGTAAGACCTCGTTAATCCTTAGCTCGCACAAGAAGTGAACTTTCACTCTTGTAATATCTCCCATAATCTAGTTCTTCTTTTATCAGGAAAAAAACTGACAAAACTTGATTCAATGTTGGTATTTCATTTTTTATGTAAATAGAGTATACTGTTCTCCTAATAGAATTCTTGACTTCTTCGTCGATAACCACACAGTATCGGCTCTAAAAAGCTGTTATTTTCCTTGAGTTCCTCAAGAATTCTAAAATACGTCGATCTATTGACATCGGTCATACTCACGCATTTTTGCACTACTTTCTCTTTACTTTTTATTTCGGGCGGATATTGTATCCTCAATAGATTATAAACATTCATAACATTTTTTTTTCATCTATATTCAATGCTGACAGTTTCGGACGCTTCACGGTTCCCGAACAACTAGCTTCCATGTTGTAGTAAACTGAAGAATATCACGACTAACCCCTCTACTATGGCCTTTAAACTCCCAACAGATACTTTCTTCATAAGAAAAAAACCCAGTCGGTCCTACTGATGGGTGCAGTGTGTCTGTTGACGGTATAATTCAAAGGAATATCTATTTATACCGCCCTCAAAAAACAATGTTTTTACAATCCCCTTCAACTAAATACTTATTTGTTGGAGAATGTATTGCAGTCACTACAGGACATATTTTCACATTTGTCGTAGTTGATGTGTTATTTTGTTTGTTATGAATGAGATTTTTCATGGGTAAATTGTATCTATTTATCATGACTTCAAGTTAGCCCAAAAAGCCCTTTTTAAATAAAATTCCGGCAGGAAACAAAACAAAAGAGTTTCCTCTCACAACAATAGACCCACAAGATCCAACTACTAAGCCGGACAGAAATAAAAGTTAGGGATCTCGTTCCAACCGAATGGTAACCTGATAATGCGGTCGCAGTCACTCAAACTCAACGTTTCCGTCAGTTACGTTTGGCCTGTCCTCAGGGCAACATCAACAAGTGAACACTCGGTAAACAAAGAAACGTATCTGTATACAGGGAGTGCAATATGAAGAATCACTACGGGACCATCAGTGACATGAAAGAATATGTGAGTTTTGCTTTTGTTGTATTGGAACGGTTTGGCCTTCAAGTTAGGGTTTGATTTTGATGGGTTATTAAGATTTTCTTATTGTCGAAGATTTTAAAATTCCTCACAGTTCGAGTGTTTGATGAACAATATTATTTCCTTTTTATGTTTTGGCTCAACATATTCATATTTTAGATTTCTGCAATATTTAGACAAATAAAAGACGGGTGCATTACGCTTTTTCTTTCTCATACTGTTTGTTCTTTTGGAACTTTTAAATTGTTGTAGGAAAACTTGAAAACATTTTTTCACGTATGTTAGTTTCGCTGTGAATATGTTTTTTTTATTTTTCTTTTAATTTCCCAGGGACAAAGTGAAGATAGATACGTCTAACTGTTTACATCAGTGGCGAATCTACAGGAGTATACAGAGTGATACATTTTAGGTACGATCTGTATATGAATATTCTTCACGTTTTCAAGAATTTGCATAATTTGTTGTTGATATGCAGCTATTGTTCCTAAATATTGTTATCAAACGTTTTATGCGATGTAATTTTCAAAATTCAACTTGGATTTGTATTTTACAAATTGTATGTGTATTTTTTCGTTGGCAATATGATGAAAACTATTTTGAAAATTTCACTTGAATTTCATAAAGCAAAATTCAACCTGTGACTCAACGTAGTCAAAGCTAGATTCAATTGGTACGACTAGAAATTCAAAAAGCATTACATTTTCGAGAAGATGTCAAGTTATATTTCCACAAGTTTCATTTCATTGACAATTAAATTTCCTAAAATATGTCATCATAGCGTTTTCTTTATAACATCGACATCAGAACCAACGAAAAGTCCCTTGTGAAAGTTTTATCAGATTTCATGAACAACACTGACTGGCAACACTGATACTTGACATATTAATGAGAAGATGAGAAATAACTGTGATTATGTAGTAATTATTGTCATAATATGAACAATATCAACTTTGAAAGCACTTTGTATTGATGTTGTTTAACCAAAACACTCAATCATTTTTTTTAATGCTTTAAAACTCAAAAGTTTCCAACTACATTTACGTCTTCTTCTTGTCAAATATCGGTGTTGCCAATTATGCAGAAAAACCCGAAACATACAACAATTTGTTCGTGAATATAGTTAATTATGTATGGAAGAGATGAAGAAAACATGGTGGCAGTTTACATGTTTTTGTTACATCATAATGCATTAGTCATTTTTTTTGTATCTTGTATCTTGCATGGGCTTTAAAATATTACTAACTTGCCAGGTAAATCAAAGGTATATACCAACGTGCTCACTTGATATGTATTACTCAGTAAAAACTATTCATAGTAATAAATGAAAATAACCCTGGCGGTGCCTATAAAAATATCGAATCAAGCAAAGGAATCTGGAATACTTTCCTAAATAAAGATGGTAATGCATTATTTTCTACTACCTGATTCACCAGATATTCATATAGAACTAATAATCGAAAACATTTTCCACGAACTATATAGTTAATTATCTGGACGAATACATGTAATGAGACATTATGTTGTAGGTTTTTAACGATGTCACTGAATAAGAAAATAATTAGTAATGTTTAATACGTTCATTTATACTCTAAATGTGTATTTTGTTCAGGTGTAGAAAACGTGTTTTTATTAAAAGTGTGTCTTCATTGTTTTGGTTGAATTATGACAGAAATTATGTCAATCCACGTGTCGACGTAAAAAAGTGATACAGTAATATATTGTATTGAAAATGTAAATCATTCTTTATAGAATTTACTAACGAATTAGCACAATTTTGAAGTCAAAAGTATTTCATACTTTCTCTGAGTTGTATACTCTTTTTTGACATTAGAGTCAGTTGCCATTTTAATTATTCACTGGTGTACCTGAACTAAATATTAAGAAGACAAATGGAGAATGAATACATTGAAAACAGTAAATAAAACACAGTGATGAACGAAATAAACATCAACTCCACATGACAACTGACATTAATGACAAATACAAAGAGTAGCCAACTCTGAAAAAATACATGTGCTGTAAAGAAAATTCAAAAAATGGACGATGAAATGAATACAGTGAAGACAACTCTCAAATAACAAATAAAACTCAAAAATGGAAAATATATCTCCAGATCAACAATGAAAAAAATAAAAACCTAAAAACAAAGCACAGTTGGTTAATTTATTGTATACACCACCCAGACTGGAAAATACTGGATCTATTATTCGAACCTTTCTTTTCAAGAGAAGGTAAAATTTTTCAAATTTGAAACAAAAGTGAACTGCAAGAGAAAGTAAAGGTGATGACATCCCCGCCTACGAAAACGCCATCTATGGGATCGACAGAAGACTCAATCTTCGAAAATAAAAGATAAACCAGGCTCCTTTTTAGGAGAGTTGAGTGGTTCAGCTCAGCATCACTGATGATACTTTGGTGGGTCGAAACAACGTCGTCTGTTCTTCTGTAAGAGAGAGAATCGTCTTGGAAATTCACAAGGAACCGTACTTTGGCCATTACATCTGAGTTTTTAGAATTGAGTACCTTATTTTTACAGTATTTTCATACTGTTAGAAAAAACCTTTAAAAATATATGGTATAGCAAAACACGTGTGGTGGTTTTGTGAACTGATCAGTGGAAATCTCACAATAAAGTATTATTTGGATGATTTCTTCTGAAAAATAGTTAAAAAATATCAAATCATTTTCAATTATTGTTATTCTTTTTAATGATTATTCTGAAAATGTTTGGAATTGTANTGTTCAAAAATGTTAGGCGTGAAATATCGGATAGGCTGTTCATATCTCAAGAAGTTCAAGGCAACCATTTCGAGCATCTTCTGAACTGACCTCAAGCTCATTACCTCATATTATGTAGTTAAATGTCAATGTATTCAGGCAATTAATTGAAATTTCGCCATTTTGTAGTAGTTGAACATATTGATATTATATTCTAGGGTTGTGAAACATTTGACAGGCGCCCAGTCGCCATCTTGAAAGTTTCATCTGTCAATTTCACTTCGAAATAAAGTAATTCATGCATTAATTTCATTATCCCAAATTTCAATTATTTGAGTTGACCAGTTCAAAAAATAAAAGGGGGGGGGGGAAATGCACTGTATATTTTACATTGTATTAGTTAGAATGCCGCACCGAAAATTCTACATCAAAAATTTTTGAAAAGTATGTTAAAGTGATTCGTTATATACTGATATCTTTTGAATGATGCACTATATTCAGAAAAGCCTAATATAAAAGCATATAAATTTATTATGTCTAGGTATATTACAAAAAATAAGTAACTATTAAGTAACAACAGATGTGTATAATAATATATTTTTCACTAATAAACGTAAAAAAATAATACGCTGGTAACAGAAAGAAACTAATTGATACAGTTTACTCTATGATTTTGACTATAAAAGGGTACGTGTCGCGGTTTTTGTAAAACCCTTTTATAGTGAAAATCATACATTAAACTGTATTAATCAGTTTTAATATGGATTTTCATCAAGTATCGACAAGTTCTATTCAATTAACAGAAAAAAATTCACATTTATAGTTCCACCATTTCACTGGAAAGTAAATTGCTTGACAGATATATATTCTTTATACAATGTGGCAATCTATTACATATAAATTCAGGAAAACATATGACATAGAACTATTATAGACAACCTGCATCTAAATCATTTGTAATACAGCAGCTTCATTTGCTGTCATAAGAATAATTTTAGGAGTAACCTCACAAAAATGCTGTGTTTCATTCATAATATTTAAAGAAACTGTTTTAGTCATTCATTTTTTATTTAGAATGTAGCATATATTAAATGTTGAATAATATCAATGAGACACTCATATATGAATTTTGAGAGATTGGAATTGGCCAAAAAAACTATGACAATTCTAAAGGCTGTCTAAATTTTTCCATCGTCTTCACATTTCATTTTGTGTATTCAGTTCTTTCTGTCCAATACAAATAACGTGGTTCAAGAAATGGACAAACACAAGAAATTTATCTTCCTTATCTTCCCTAATGACCTCTTTATTGCTCACTATGTAACGACATGATTCAGGAAAGTTATACGTCTCAGATCTGGACAGTATTTGAACCCTTCTCTCGAAAACAGGGAATTCCCAAGATTCAGGTAGAAGGATTAAAGTCCTTTCAATAAAAGTTATTGATAAAATATTTAGATAATGTATTCGTCGATGTGAAAGTAGGCACCGTACACCTTCGATTTGGGTCAAAAACGATATTAATATTTAATTTCCTAAAAGTTTCCAAGCACGGTTCGTCACACTAATGATTCAATGTATCAAACTGATGAACTATTTATTTAAAGTTTAAATAACAAATAACTTGTACATTTCCGTAGAGGATTGTTATTCGATGCAATAATTTCCATGCAGCATAAAGGATCGAGCAACCGTTTATTTGTAAATTAATATTTTTTTGTTGGCATAAATTGATTACAGAAGAGAAATATGTGATTAATGAGAGTTATGCAGACAAATCACGTTTTGGTGAAATTCCACTTGATAAACGTATCATCTGGTGTTTGTTTTGTTTTGTGCCAAGCTGGATCTTTCTGCTTATCGGGCACAGTTCAATCGAACTGGAATGTAACAAAAGACGCGGATCGCCGCTAATCAGATAAGCCGTTTCGTAACGATTCGTTGAAAGCGCGTGTACGAATAAAATCATTTTTCGCGAAATTTCCATATAGAGTCAAAAATTTGGTTGTTTTGAAGGGATGCCCTAACACTTTAGTCTTTTTTTATGTTGTAATCATACCGCGGTTTCGCACGGATAGCGGAATATACAGAGCCTATCTTCTTAAATGATTTCAATAATAATAATAATTTTTGATTATTTCCTTGTTAAAAAGTACATTGTTATACGTACAGTGACAAGGAAAACGGCTGAGGATAGGACATAAAAATATGATACAAATAGGTATATACATATAATTACTTGTTTGGGTTAGATTATGTAAAAAATAACTATAAATAAATGAAAGTCAATTTTATCACATAATTGTGATATTTTGTCATTAAAATATAAAAATACAGTTTAAAATTCGTCAAGTGTGTAGCAATTTTTTTCAATAAGTGCCTTTTTCAGTCTTGATTCAAAAATGTTAAGATTTGGTGATATTTTAATTGATTTTTCTAATTTATTAAACATTTTTGGTCCAAGATAAAGAAAACTTTTCTGATAAAGAGTTGTTCTATGAATATTGGGCATCAGTTTGTCTCTAGAACGAGTTGGATAATTATGTTGCTGGAAAGGTGTATTATGCTTGTTTCTATAAACGTATATACACAATTCATAAATATAGAGACCAGCAACAGTTAGTATCTTGAGATTTTTAAGTTTTTTTGCCGATTTTAATGAAACTATAGTACATTCGGTGAAAGAATTTCAAAAATGCAAACATGACGGTACATCAAAAAGAAAGAAACATAGTCGTCTCAAGCAAGTGGCACTGCAATTCATCCACAAAGTCACTGAGATATTTCTACCCGTTATTCCCCTTGAAGACGCCGGAGGAGCCATTGAAGTAGTGACTTGCTACAAAGAACTTCAAAATAGGCGGCCGACGCTGTTTGTCATATTGCGTTAAAATTAGTATTAATAGGCGTCGGACTGGGGGTATTAATATAAATTTTCCAATGATATATTCTGTATGATGCCAATATTATTGAAATATCGTAAAAACTAATTTTGTTTGAATTTTTTTTCTTGAGAAAGACAATTTATGTTTGAAATAGTTTTTTATTCAGGATTGTTACCCTTTACAGATCTATAGAATAATCAGAATATTAAGTTTAATGAATATAGTTTGAAAAAACTAAAAACACGCTTTTGAAGAACATCGAACTAAAAAGTTAAAAATATTTTTTTTTAATAAGCTTAAAACAATAACGAACGAAAAATACTAGTTTTATTGTGAAAAAAGCGACTTGCGCTTGATATATAAAAATATGGCACAAAACGCCCGCGAATAGCTCAAGCGAAATTGATTCTTACCGTTACTTTCTATCCATTCACTTTTATATTTTTATGCTTTATAGTTTTTATATTCTCATACTTACATTTATGTGTTGCATGAGAATATTCATTATTATTTTCTGACTACTTTTTCACCCCAAAATGCTGAAATCACCAAATGTTCAAATATTACTTACAATTTGTATAACTTATATTCTTTAAAATAATAACACTTTGACAATAATATTTTATCTTCGACAATACCTTTTAAGCTATGTATCTTATATTTTTTAGAATAGTAACACTTTGTCAATGAGATTTCATTCTCAACAATAAAGTACATTTTGATTTGACTGCAATAATTGACAGTTACGTACAGCGCCATCTGTTCCCAAATAGAGCAAGCAATAATTGATAGTTACGTACAGCGTCATCTGCCCGCGAATAGATCAAGAAATATCAATTAGTTACGAACAGCGCCATCTGCTCGCGAATAGATCAAGCAATAATGCCGATAATTCTGTCAATGCAGATCCCGATCTTGAGAGTTACACACAAACATGCATACAAGCAATCATACATACATACATACATACATACAGGTGAAGCTAATACAAAGCGTGTAAAAATGAATACCAATTTAGAAAGGCAAAACATTACTGCATTTGATAAATTAGCTTTTAAAAAAAAATCTGATGTGTCAGTAACTTGAATTTATAAAATTTTGCGTATGAAAATAAATATGTAGCATCTGGTGACGTTTTAAAGACTATCCATTTTCTTTATCCAACCTAATTAAATTAAAACAATATAATTTGTAGTTATAATTTGTCTTTTGATGTAAATCAATATTGACACGTCGCCATGATAAGTATACAAATAGAATAGGTTTCCGCGGTTAGAAATTTTAACATCTGAATTTCGGGTTGAACTGCCCTCAAAATTTTGCATTGTTCGACGTTTTTCTGGTCTTGCCAAACCTTCGAGATGGTATGACCCATGTTTCATTCAAATAAAAAATAGATTTACCCAGTGTTCTGGCTTTCTTTCTCTTGAATAGTGTTAGGAATCACACGTTAAAAGGTAAGACCTCGTTAATCCTTTGCTCCCACATTCATAACATTTTTTTTCATTTATATTTAATTCGGACAGTTTCGGGCGCTTCACGGTTCCCGAACAACTAGCTTCCATTTTGTAGTAAACTGAAGAATATCACGACTAACCCCTCTACTATGGCCTTTAAACTCCTAACAGAAAATAATGTAATACCTCCTTCATAAGGAAAGAACCCAGTCGGTCCTACTGATGGGTGCAGTGTGTCTGTTGACGGTATAATTCAAAGGAATATCTATTTATACCACCCTCAAAAAAATGTTTTTACAATCCCCTTCAACTAAATACTTATTTGTTGGAGAATGTATTGCGGTCACTACAGGACATATTTTCACATTTGTCGTAGTTGATGTGTTATTTTGTTTGTTATGAATGAGATTTTTCATGGGTAAATTTTGAGTATTCATTTATTCAACTCGTTGTGAGTAAATGATTTGAATGCTGTACGCCTATGGCACTAATATCTGTTTGAAAATCTGTTTAAAATCTGCTTTTCCGTTAACCAGCTGTCGCACCCCTACGAACGACAACCCTCAGAAGTCGAAACTTGTGCGAGCTAAGGATTAACGAGGTCTTACCTTTTAAGATCGATCGTTGTACAAGGATCTCATGCTTATNTATTTCAATTTCAATGATTTTTTTTTCAAACAGGATGTTCGACCAAAAACCGCCGCAATGACCCGATGCGAGGAGAAGCAGCACCTCCTCGACAGCGACTACCAGAGCGAAAGCGCGTCCATCAACATGGAGAGCGGCTTCACGCAGATGGACGACCCCATCTTCAACAGGAGCATCGAACATCCCACTTCCAATTTCGACACGATGATCCACCTGCTCAAAGGCAATATCGGCACCGGCATCCTGGCGATGCCCGACGCCTTCAGAAACGCCGGTTGGGTCGTGGGCCTCTTGGGCACCGTGCTCATGGGTATCGTCTGCACCCACTGCATGCACATGCTGGTCGGGTGCTCTCACGAACTGTGCCGGAGGACGCAGAGGCAATCGTTGAATTTCGCAGAAGTCGTTGAGAATGCATTTAAGTTTGGTCCGGGATGTTTGCAAAGATTTTCTGGACTTGCCAAGTGAGTAGTATTTCTGTGGTTATGGTTAATTTATTTCAGAATGTGTTGTACAATTGGCAAGCCAAATGTCTTTCTCAAGACTATGGGACAAGATACTATCTAAAATATTTAAGTGTGGTTGACCTTGGACACATAGCATATATGCATTGTGTTTTTGCCTAGATCAGTCTTTATTCGGCTTCTTTCAACACTACCTTCCAAATATTTTCTTTTTCATTATCTTACAATTTCGGATCCTTTGTGAATTTTGTCAATGCTTTTGTACTGTCCAACAATATACTCTGCGGTGTCCTCTTTTTTCAGTGGGCCTTCTTTTCAAGATCATACGAATTTTGGTTCTTCAGACATCTCTTTCTCTCATCTTGGTCGTTCTGTTGTTTTCCATTCTGTCTAATCTTATGGCGCTCTATACAGCTACCGAATTGAGTCATGGCCGGTGAGAGAAATCGTATCTGCATAAAGTTTGGGTTGGTGTATGACAAAGAAAGTATCAGGTAAAATGGAATACAAACTTTTGTTTGCAATTTAACGTATTTTCCTTCAATCGATTTCCTGGAATCTTTGAAGTCCACTAGATACTCGTTAGGACAACAAGAGGATTGTTCCGAATTCTCCGGGTTCTTGTTGAATACTTTTCGTGCGCAAAACAATAGCAGAATCAATACTACTGACCGTTCTGGATTGAGTGATTCCGTAGTCTATTTCGTCGTACGTTTGTAAATCTTTTGCTGGAAAAATCTTCACTTGTTTACTTTGTAGTAAATGTTCAAGAGGTGGCAAAAACGTATGTGAATTTCTGGAACTTCAACTAGCGTTTCCCAATATGACTAATAACCAGTCCGTGCAAAGCTTATTGTTAAATCATCTGAAAATGGAACTTTTAACAAGTGATGATCAACTGTATTGACAAATAAATAACAATTATAAGACAACAAATTTAGCTGAGGCAACAGTCAATCTAATATTGGACTTGTCAAAGGCCTTTGACTGTGTTTCCCACAGCATTTTACACGAAAGACTGTCATATTATGGTGTAAGAGGCACTCCTTTGGGTTTGATTGAAACTTACCTGAATAATCGTTTCCGGAGAGTTTTTTATAACAATATATTTTCTGAGCTGAGGCCGATTGACCTAGGTGTACCGCAGGGATCGGTTTTGGGCCCGCTTTTGTTTGTTATTTACATCAATGATTTTTACAACTATATGAAGCCNGCAACACACGCCATACAAAACAAACATAATTGCCCCCCACCAGAGAACATAAAACTCATAAAGCAAGTCAATAAAGGAAACCGTATGGACATCTAGGAAAACTTAAACGTCCATAAAGTTAACAGTCATAATTCACTTATCGAGGAACAAATCTGTTTAAAAAAATCTTTTTCCCGTTAACCTGCTGGCGCACCCCTATAAACGACAACCCTCAGAAGTCGAAACTTGTGCGAGCTGAGGATTAACGAGGTCTTACCTTTTAACGTGTGATTCCCAACATGTTATTCAACTTCCAATTATCCCCAAAAGGGATAATTGGAAAAAATCGGGCATATATAGACTAGAATGTGGTGACTGTCCAGCAGCTTATGCAGGACAGACAGGCATAAACTTCATCATAAGATACCGATTGTTGAACAAAAACGGATTCTGTTGAATGTGCAAATTTTTGAATTAATTTTTTCTAGGTTTTACCATTAGAAAATAATATGAAAACTCCCCAAGATTTCGGAGGTTGGAATGGTGTTCTCAATACCGGTATGGTAATCGTCGGTGCCTTGTACACGTCAGTAGGATTTTTTGGATACCTCAAGTATGGTGATAAGGCCGTTTTAGGGAGCGTTACGCTTTTGCTGCCAGTTAATGAATTGTAAGTATACCAACCCTATAATCTTATTTGGGTCTCTCTGCGATGTCTAACCTATCTTGGCAGCTTCCAAAATTTCCCTGAGTAGGTGAACATATACGAGTTCTGTTCAAAAAATATGGCGAAAGTTTAAATTTCGCGGGCTACATACTTTTGATTAGGGATTTTATTTTTTGTGTTGGTACACTCGTCTCGAACATATGTTTACAGTTTCAGCTGTTTAGCCTGTTGAGTTTGTTGGTGAGAGTCATAAATGTTAGAAGTGTTTTGCTCGTTCGGCAATTTTCTGCTATTAAAACGAATGGATCAAATGATTTGCATCAAATTTTGTGTAAAAATGGAATTAAGAGCTCTAAAACACTTGAAATGTTAACAGTGGCTTATGCTAATTGTATTCCTAGTCAGAAAAATGTTTACAAGTGGTACACGCTTTTCACAGAAGGTCGAGAAGATGTAAATGACGACTCTTGCCCTTGACGCCCCAGCACATCAACTACCGATGAACATGTTGAGAAGGTAAAGATAATTGTTATGGAGAATCGTCGAATTACTATTAGAGAAGTTGCTGAAGGTGTCGGCATATCGGTTGGCTCATGTCATGCAATTTTTTCGAAAATTTTGGGCATGAAGTGTGTATCAGCCGAGGTCCTTCCAAACTTGATTAGAAACAAATTGGAAAAACTATTCATGGCTTTTGCATCACGACAATGCCCCTGCTCACTCGTCATTGCTTGTTCGTAATTGTTTCGTCTAAAAACAACACCGTAATCATGCCTCAGTCACCGTATTCACTAGATTTGCCCATCTGTGACCCATGGAAGGACAGCGTTTTGCGACGATTGAAGAGATAAAACCCGAATATACAAAAAAAGTGCATATCAGAACTACTGACACAATTTATAAGAGGGACTTCTTCGAAGATGACAAAAAAAAGTAATGAATAAATAGATATTTTTTGAGAAAAATGAAAATTCGCTTTATTTTTTGAACAGAGAGCGTATATCAAAAAGAGCAACAAAACATTATTCTTATTCTTATCAACCAATACTGACATATAAATTATCCATGAAAGTTCCTGGATGCTCACAATCATCTTCTCATATCAGTTTATTTCGGAGAAAATTTGATAACAGAAAACCGACAGACTTTCGAAACTATCCAAAAATCTAGTTTCATGTACCGCTCTCGGCAATTTCAGATAGTTTTCATTCATTCTATGGCTGTTTTCCAAGGAGTGTTAAGCGACACCAGATTTTTCCGGTCTCCGGAATCGCATATTTGCTGCGTGATCTTTGAAACGAGTTTTAATGGCTATCTTAATCTGACCGATATTTTTTTGTCACAGTCGCTACAGCTTTCTCATATACAGTGCCTTCATTTCAAAACTTCCCACCCCTAGTACTTCTTTTAGCAGGGAGAATTTGCCGTAGGCAAAAAACACGTCAATTTAGATATCGAGGGGGAAGTTTAAAACCAGTGCCAGTGCTATTTTAGGTTTAACCCCCTTACCCCTAGCTACCCCCACTTAATAATTTTAAATGGCACCCCCTATTTTGGAATACATAATTTTAAAGATCATAAAAATCCTCACTCAACCCCGTTTAGAAAACTGAAATTGATTGATCCGTTCTCGTAAAATATCACAAGATCCCTTCATTTTGCACAAATTGAGTCCTATTTACGTTATGGAATTTGTTTCTGGGGAAATTGTGCACAATTTCGTTTCAATATGGTATTCTCTCTACAAAAAAGATCCATCAGATATTTATGCAAGGCTAGCTACAGTGATTCATGCCGCCCATTATTTGTGAAGCATAAAATTGTGACCTTAGTATGTATTTTTATTGTGCAAACAGTGTGTCTTATCCACAAAAAATATAAAAAATTCTCGTTAATTTTCGACTTTTCAAAAAGACGTGGATTCAAAGTGTATTGTCCTTCCGTATGATTCAAGATACAATAACGGATTAGATCGTATTTTAAAATGGTCAAGTCGGGGATATTAGAAAATATAAGCTGTGAGGACTGTTACAAAAAATACATCGGAAGGATTAAGCGAGCCATGAAAACTCGTTTCAAAGAACACAGCACATATCCGATCTCGGAGACCGGAAAAATCTAGTGTCGCTCTAAACGCCTTGGACTCTGTGCCCACAGAATGAATGAAAACTGTCTGAAATTGCCGAGATCGGTATATTATACTAGACTTTTGGTTACTTCCGAAAATCTGAAAATGGCAAAGTGTGGCATGAGATCTATGAAGAGTGATAAATGTTTCATTCCAATTAGCCCATCGATTACGTTTTTATGAAATTCTCCACAAATTTCTACTCGAAAGACGCGAACTAAGTTGGTGAAACACGCGTGTAGAAGAGCATTCGCATTCACCATTAAACACATCAAAAATGAATGAAATAAAATCGATTATTTTTCAACTAAACTAACCAAGCATATCCTAACCAACATATTTATGTAACCTGAAATCTGAAGTAAAAACTAACGTCTTTTAGAATGCTTTATTTGGAGAAAAGCATCTACCCACAACATCTAACCTGACTTCCGAATTCGAGAACGAATTTAGCGCATTATTACTTGTATTTCGTAGTTTGAATAATATCAATAGTGCTTTTTCAGTAACCGATAAGACTATAAAAAAAAGAACATTACTACATTTATTAGTATCGTTTGTAGATAAAGTAGGATTTTTTCAAAGCGGGTTCCAGCGTGACGGAGCTTGTAATCGTCGCACTGAAATACGTTATCCATCAGTACTTTCTAGAATGCTTTGTATATTATTGGAATTGTAAAAACTGAACTTCATTTTCATTTGTCTCAAACGTTTTCTGCTCTCTTTCCATTCAATATGTTTGAACCGTTGTACCGCCTAATTTAAAAAATAATAACACGCACACTTCTTTTTCAGCTTGTCACAATCTGTACGACTGATGATGGCTGTGGCAATTTTCTTATCGTACAGCTTGCAGTTTTACGTACCTTTCCAAATCGTCTGGCCCATGATAGGAAGACATTTCGAGAACGAAAAAACCCAAGATATAGCGGAGTACATCACCAGAACCGTATTGGTTTTCATAACTTTCCTGTTCGCTATCGCGATACCCAATTTGGGTGCCGTTATTTCTCTAGTTGGTGCTTTCAGCAGTTCCGCCTTGGCTCTGATATTTCCGCCACTGATAGAAATCATTACTTTTTGGCCCGATAAGTTGGGAAAACATAAATGGGTTCTGTGGAAGGATATTGCCATTATTTTGATTGGTTTCTTCGGATTCCTTATTGGGTCTTATACAAGTTTATTGAACATCCTTCACCCTCAAACAATGTAGAGAGTTTTACCCATTTGATATCAAGTGCTACCATGAAGTAGAGAGCTGTTGCTCAACATATTCTCTTCGTATCAAAGAGCTTCCCATTTGACAATAAAAATGTGTAGATTTATGATTATTTGATGTTAGTCAATTCCAGATGTGTAGTTTGAGCAGCAGTAGCTTTGTTGAGATTTGCAGTAAAGTCAACTTTTGGACGCTGATTGATGGTAATTTCCAGAAAGACGATAAAATCCTGTAGTGCCACCTTTTATATCAGTAAAGAATACAAGTCAAAGTCGCTCTTGTTTTGTCTTGAATTCAGACGCAAATTTTCAGTTATTGCACACAAATTCTTATTTGTACATCACGTCATTGAATTGGATTTTTCCACCTCACCATTTTTCATGATAAATGTATAATTTCACAACCATGAGAAGGTATCTGGCTTGCTACTTAGGTGAGTGTTAGGTTTCCATTGTTGTATCACTTTACATTTGCTAAGAAGGATTTATAGCTAATCATGAAATTTGGTTCCCAAATAGTGGATTTTACAGACTGAATTCACATTTTGAAAAGCCCAAAGCTGCTGTCAAACTGACACATACTTTAGTGTGAGTTGGAACTTTTATGTTATGGTTGGTATGTTATGTTATGATGTTGGCAGCAGTTCAACTGTTCCACAATAAACTTAATTTTATTGTACAGGAGCAAGTTCCGACATTAATTGAAAGATGATGAATGTTTTGTGATAGTAGTGTTTAATTCGACCACATTATGCATTTATTTATATTTATATGTACTGTTAGATATATAATTATCTAGTCATTACCAGTTTTGGCTATTCATAATCTAGTCATCACCAGTTTTGGCTATTTATAGTAATTTTAGATTCGATTCCCGTTCAAGAATGGGTTTTGTTCCTTTCATCATAGTGAAGTGTTGTATTTATTAGGTGTCACATTGAAGATTTAAGCACTTATCAGAACTTCACAATCAAAAAGTTTTTTGAGTTTCATGATTTTTTATCAAATTCAGCTTTACTTCACGAAAGCATATAAGAAATACTGTAAATTGAAAAATTCTCACCTACAACTGTGAATTCAAACGTATTAGTATGAAGTTACAAGTACAACTGTAAATTGTCAAATTCACTTTCATGATTGTAAATTTTGACAAACCTCTGTAGATAGCAATCTCCTGACATCTACACTTTGCACTCGGCATAACAGATGTCAGTTAATGAAAACAAAATCTTAACATAATCTAGCCAAAACTATAGTCAACTAATAAATTTTAATAGGTGATATACTTTTCAAGTTCTAGTTGCACTAGTTGAATCGAACTTCAGCTAGCAAGATTGGGTTACAGGTAAATTTTTATTTCACTGACAATATGCTAAATGAATTTGCAATAAATGCAATGTGCTGACATCTATTCTGCGTAGTAAAAAGTGTACATGCGAGGAACTTGCTGTCTACAGATGCTGATCATAATTTACAGTTATAAAAATTAATTCATAGTTATAAATAAATCCCTTATTGAACACTCTAGATTAGTAGCAGCAATTAAAAATGTGAGACATTCACAAGCCAAAGTGAGACATCTTAATAATTATTTTCAAATATGGCTCCTAAGTTTTGCCTAGAATTTATTCTTGGCCGGTGCCTTTCTTAGTTTTCCTCGTGTTATGTTCACTTGACAGATTTAACAATGTTTTTATCTTGTCCCTGGCAGAAGTTATTTTCTAAGGTTCTTCGTATCTTTTTTTGTGTAGTTCTATGTCATTTCCTTTTTACTTTTGGATTTTTTTGTATACAATTTCCTCGACTGTCAGTTCATTCTTCATGTACCTGTATTTTAACCAGTGCTATTTTGAAGGGACCGTTTTTTGAATTATTCACTGTGTCAAATGATAATATTACCAATTATGTACATATCATATATTTATTTACGTTGTATTATATTTTTGTAAGATTTAGTTGACCCAATTCATTTATTTATTGTTGGATACTTTCAAATGAATGTAGGAATAAAATATTTAACTATCAAATTGAATTTTTTATGGAAGCACAGAAGCGTTACAGTAAATTTCTTGATATACCCTGATAGCGGAGGTGATTGTTAGATTTGAATCGCTGTGAATAATTATATCAATTTGAAAAAATAGTTTCAACAGCTTTATTCCACAAGAGCGCAGTTTTCCAAATATGCAGTTCGAGATGTGTCCTTCTGTAATGAATAATGAAAAAGAGAAGACTGTTGATAAGTTCCAAAAATAGTTCAACTGTAGAACAATCTAATTCGAGTATTACGGAAAAAAATGTAATTTTACTGAATCCCTGAAAAGTAAGCCCCAAGTTGAAAAGTAAAATTTTCTGTTGGTGAATGGCAATAACGGTAGAAATCTTATAAAATATGTGACAATTTCCAGTAGAGAAAATCAAACAATTCAATCGATACTGCCAGTAACGAAACTTTGCTGATAAAAAGCCATAGAACATGCAAACAAGAAAGCCTTTATTTTTTACCAAATTCCACAAAGAGAATGACCCGTAAAGTAAAATTGATTGAGAAAGCCAAGACTCTGAAGATATCAAAGGAATGTTTTAGACATATCGTGTTCAAAGTGGGTGCCGCGGGAGCTTACAATCTTCCAAAAACAACAATGAATTGATGTGCGAGGAATAAAACTCGAAGTCGTCTCCACAATTCAGTGTCACCATCGGATGTTAGTGCGGTAAAACCATCAATTAGAACATGTTTCGAAACTATATAGGTTGATCATCAGCTAATATTTAAACTTCTGGAGATTTTTTTTATTTTAAAGATTTTTCATGACTAGGTGGTCAGCTGGCAAGGTTATGGTATCAGTATTTTGGGATGCGCATGGTATATTAATCGACTATCGCGGTATTGCAGCATTTGAAGAACAAAATCGCGACCCCATTTGATGTTAAAATTACAAGAATCGGGCTTCAATTTGCTTCCGCATCCACTGTGTTCTCCAGATCTCTTCCCCAGCGACTTTTACTTTCGATTATCTTCAGGTCGATCGTATCAAATACATTGAGTCCAGCAATACATTTGAAAAATATAAAATTGCTTCAATTTCCAAGAATTAAACAGTGTTTAATAGAAAATTGCAAAACTACAATTCTCTTTTCCATTCAAAAATACTAAAAACTAAGGCTTTTTATGCAAAGTTCATCAGACTTTGATATCTTGCCCTGTTGAGAAGGGGGAAACTTTATACATCTGAAAAATCGGAAGTTTTCCTGAATAGAAACTATTTTGTCTGTATAAATGAATTCATAAAAATTATCTACCTTTCCATCTACGGTTATTATTTTTCTTTGGCAATTTTTTTTATATTTCAATCGGAGAAAAACAAAGATACTCAATTAATTTTGGGGAGTTAAATAACGACATATTTAACCAATTAAATAATAATTTTAATTACAATAACTTAAGTCCATACGTCATAAAAGAATACAAAATGAGAATACAATAAAGGAATCACTGTTTTTTGAAACTTTTCAATATAGGATAAATATTATCAAAAGCTTCATAAATTTCTTGCCTAACTTTGGCACCCGTTAACACAACCTTTCCGGAAACGAAAATCAACAGAACTATCCTGGGTTTCACCATTCGGTAGATCAATCCGGGGAACAATTCAGGTTCGTAACTACTGAAAGAACTGTGAGTGAGCACGAGCCCCTCTAATCTAATGGGAAATTTAACGTCGCAGCTGCCGACCATGTTTTGGATTTTGAAATCAAGGAATTTCGCATTGAAACCAAGTTTTTGTATGATCCTGGCATATTTTCTTGCAGCCAACCTGGAGTCTTCCTCGCTTTTAGCGCCTGTACACACCATTTTACCGGAGGAGAAGATTAATGCAGTGGTACGGGGTTCTCGTATCCTCATTATGACGGCAGCAAAACGTTTTGGATTGTATTCAGCATTTCTTGCGTGGAGGGCGATTTTTTTCAAGTCCAATTTACAGTTCAGATTAACTGTTGATACGATATTTCTGAAATAAAAGAGCCAAAATTACCACACTATCTTCACATATTTTTTTTTTGCATGTGGAATATTTGATTTGATGGAAACTTACTGTAGTTGAGGAATTATTCCTGGATCAGCAGAATGTGGAGTCATTGGAGTCAATGGAGAAGGAGTTGCTGGAGCCATGGTGGGTGTTGATCCGGTAACTACTGATCCCCCCAAGTTAACCAGAGGACTCATCATAGTATGTTGCTAAATAAAAGAAGAACTTTATTTCCATATATTGTTTCATTTTCCAATACCATTCATGGGTATGTTCAGAAAATAACTACAATTTTTAAATTTTACGGGTTTGAAGCATCCGATAATGTTTTATATAGGTATAGTTCTAATTAGTTCCAAATATATTTTAAGGAAGACATATAATTCTATCATATCTTTTTACCCCTGTCTCACTTATGTCAAATCTTTACATAAAATTTTCAAATGAGAAATTTTTGTTGGATTTCCACTGAAATTCATTGAAATATTCAATATTCACACTGGGATTTCTGTAATTCAGCATGGATTTGCAGGATTTTCGAACTGAGGCCCCGCTCATCTTCTTTCAAATTCATTTCAGATGTGGAAGAAGCTAGCCAAAATACTATTATCCAAGGAAGACATATATTTCTATCATATCTTTTTACCCCCGTCTCATGTCAAATCTTTACATCAAATTTTCAAATAAGAAATTTTTGTTGGATTTCCACCGAAATTCATTGAAATATTCAATATTCACACTGGGATTTCTGTAATTCAGCATGGATTTGCAGGATTTTCGAACTGAGGCCCCGCTCATCTTGTATCTTTCAAATTCATTTCAGATGTGGATAAGCTAGCCTAAATACTATTATCCACAAAAAATAATTATTGGTGTCTTACCTATGCTGGGTATACTAAACCCTGGACTAGGTAGCATTTGATCCATGATTGATGGTTTATTGCAATCCACTAATTACGAATAACTGACAACCCTTTACGATTATAAGAAAGAAATAATGTCAGACTGGTTCTTCGGTATGCATAATGAAATTTTTCTTAAATAAATTGTGGTGCTGCAACAACTCTTCTAAACAATCAAATCAGTTTACATATATATGGCTAAGCAAGATAATACGTCACTGTTTATTATCTCTGTCAAACTTCTGAACAGGGTCGCCACTAGATATTATATTTGCATTCAAAAATTTAGGTATAAATTCAGTGATTTTTTAACTTTTGTATATGTGCAGGCGCCATATTTTACCAGTGATTTCACAGAAGCCTTCATAGACTCGCAGACTAAATTTCCAATTCAATGATCTGATAATTTTTAATCTACACTTGATTAATAAATCAATGTATGTTTTATGTAAGTTGTCAAAATGTTATGCTATGTCTATAAATATTCATAGCCATTGATTCCACTTGGCGCATTCAGACAGGCCAAAATGTACTTAAGTCAGAATGTCATCGTCATTTCATCCAGGTTTGGAGACCAGCTCCCCTACCCTTTTGGCTGATTGTTGGTCTTGAGAGGGACCAATGGGTTCTTGACTGAATTGGTGACGGCATAAAGTCCTTAGACATCAGTGCCGCCCTTCACGGGATACTTAAAAGTCTTATAACCAGGGTTCTTATATAGGTTCCAAGTCCCATTATGTGAACCCTCCTTAAACTATAATTAATCAGCAGGGTTGCCACTTTACGGGCGGAACTAGCTTAAATGTCTGCGCCCTCTATAAACATGGTGAAGTCATCAGTGATGAATTCCCTCATTGGTCCATTTGAAACATATGTAATTACTATTGGTCACTATACGTGTTTTCTGGCTCTCATGTATTCAAAACGTATTCCTCTGTGATTCAAATAGATCCATTCTGGCGTTGAAGCGATAACGTCACATCAACTATGATTTGAAACATATTCGTGAGGTTGGTTTTGAAACGGAATTTGACATTACGTTACGTCAGTTGTCAGTTTCTGCTTTATTTTATCGTTATAATTTATAAATTGCTCAAATCTTTTCATCAAATACCTTGTAAGGATGTACAAAATCCTGGCCTCAGCTGTTCTTATTTTTTTATTGATGGCTTCAGCTACCAGAGCTATTTATCCAGGAGTTCCAAAAAAGTTTGTTTTTATTATTGAATTTGGCATCTGACACAAATTGAATTATTTCATTATGGCGAATTATTAATGAAAACACCTTATATGTGCGCATTATCAACTTCAAAAAACACTTTATTGTGAGATTTTCACCAAACAGTTCCACAAAAACGCAACACTTTTGCTATACAATAGTTTCTTCAGGCGTGTCTACACTAACTAACCAGTATAGACTCGCCTGAAGAAACGTATTGCGTTTTTGTAAATAAAATGTTTCTTGGATAGGTCATGGATTTTCATCATGTATCAGTCAATTCCATTACATGCATTAAACGTCGTTGAATGAACCCACTTGTCTAAAGAAAGCTTTGTCAACGAAAGGAAAAAATCAAATAAGTTCCTGATTGGTTCGGTCGTTAATTGATGAAGATATATAGTAATTTTATAAACTTCACCTTACGATTTGATCTTCACAAACTTTATTTAAAAAAAATATATTACATATTTCGCTAACACAGTAACTTTTTCCTAGCGAGAAAGCTATTGTGATAGGTGTGAGGTTTTCATTTCAAATAACAATAATTGTCTGTTTTACGGCCACATCGAAAAACAGTGTAGGCGAGGAACAACTAAATGTAGTCTGGAACTGATAAAAATGAAAACCGTAGGTTAGGTATTCATCAGCAGAAAATATAGTGCGTATTCTATAAGCAGTATAGCCACAATAGCACTAGTGAAACTTGTCCTGAATTTTTTAGATGAAGAAAATTAAAGAAGTTATGCCTTTGGACAACCTGTCATTTTAAAAGCAGATGAAATTATGTCAAAAATACATCCGAAATTTGGGAATTTCTCAAACAAAAGCAATGAATTTTCTTCAATTTCTTCGAATGACTTGGAATTTATTTCAGTTATCCAGAGAAGAAGAGAAGTTAATTAGAAATTTTTTTCAAATAATTTTTCACTTTCACTCTCTTAAGGTTAGAAAGCTGAGTAGTTTGCTTTTTTTAGTTATCGATTTCGAAAATGGTAAAACAACAGTTACAAATAAAAGTAACATTGGAAGGAATAGAAGAGCTGTATACTAACCACCCAGATTACACATTTTTGGTGAAATTCAAGTGCATCAATTGTGGAGAAATATCAGATAAATGGCATGATGTGTGCGAGTCTCATACATTTCCTGGTAGATCAGGGAAATATGAAGTCAATTTCTGTGCAAAGTGTAAATTATGCTCTCGAGAAGGTACCGTCGACATTATTGCCGGAAGTAATGGTAATTATTTTTTGTCAATTTTTTAAATACAGGATACCATTATTTCCTGCTGTTTCTATGGGTTTTTCTTCCACAATCTGAAAAAAAAACATATCTGCAGAGAATTTACTAACACATTGGCCGCGACAGTAAAAACTCTGTTTAAATTTCAGTACATTGTCCTATTGTCCATCTCTGCAACCAATAATGTCTCCCTCATTTGTTCTAATGATCCTGTAGAGACCAATGTCCAATAAACAAAATATCATTCAGTGCCATCTACAAGTTCAGTGTTGAATTAAAGCTCAAAAATTGTTACAGATTTCTGCAATTACTTGCCTCTCTGTTAATGGGGTTAGGTTAGGCTTTTGCTTCCATTGAGGCCCATTAAGCCAAATTACTTTTTTTGTGAAGCTAAGTTTTCCTTCATATCCGTCTTCGGCGAACCAGTGTCACACAGAAGAGCTTGCCAATTTGTCTAAAAATTAAATGCACAATTATCATTTAGGTATTGTTAGGACTCTTTCACATAAGGAGCTTCACTCCATACCGCCCATTCATACTGGAAGCGTTTTCAGTTCCTGGCTCCTTGAGTTCAGTCGTAGAACGGATCGCACAAGAGCTGCTGTTGCCACCTTCTCTTCCATCGACACCAACTTTGACGACAGGAACGCCAACAATCAAGAATGTTTTGGATACATATAGTTGAGCACCTTGCAGATTTTCACCCAATTTTTTATGACTTTATTTCTCTTTATACATGTCGAGACTTTTATCCAAAAGAGCGAGTCTGACAGTTTTGATTAATATCTCCACATCGTAGTGTGAAGCGTCAACCAGGGAAGGGAGAGAGAGCAGTTTTCACTCGTCTTGTGAAAGTCCCCACTAACCTTTTTGCATTTTGGGGAGAGAACGTGGCTCCCCTGCTTGAGGTGCAGGAGACGTGAAAGCTCGTGTTTCCCGAGGCATGGCTGCTTCCGCTCTTCATTGGACTTGTTGCGTTTCTTTCTCTAGGGAGCGAGAGACGTGAATCTCTCCGTGTAAAAGAGGCCTCAGGTGCGTATTTTATTGGAGTAAGAAAGGCACATGCCAGGTTTTCCAGGGCAATCATCACAGAAACTGGTTACCTCAGATCAGGAGGGGATCTAGGAATTTACTGAGGGGGGTGCACTTGAGATACATTTTTTATTATAAATAAAATAAAATCAAGTTGTTTAGTGAATATGATATTATTTTCAATTAGTGATAGTTCTTATATTTAAATAAGTTAAGAGGACTCATGCAGGAATCCGGTTATCGGTTTGGTAGTGGGCAAGAGTCTAGGACTGGCTTAGGCCCCATAATTGCTTAAATTAGGAGCTGTTGGTGTGCGTGGAGTACCTATTGACTGAGCGAAGTCTTATCTATCTGAGCATACACAAATAACAGTGTATGACAACTCGAAATCGCAAAAGAAAGAATCTAACCTAGGAGTACCCCAAGGCTCAATATTGGGGCATTTATGCTTCATAATATTCACATCACACATAAAAAAATACTGCAGTTATCCTGAACATATCTTACTGTATGCTGATGATACAAATATTCTGATGTCAAACACCGACATTGAACAATTAATTGTGAATAGTAAGCTTTGTGTATATTGTGCTCAGAACGGTCTGCAATTGAATGTGACGAAAACATATTTTATGCGGTTTTTACCAAGAAATATTACTCCTGACCAAAATCTTTACCTACATATCAATGGAAAATCAACTGAAGCTACAAAAACAATGAAATTTCTGGGTGTTACACTCGATCAAAAATTAACACGGAAGGCTCATATAAAAGCTGTATGCTCTATTCTAAGCACATATTGTTACATGATAAGACAGCTCATAGATTCTGTTTTTTTTTTTAATGTACTTAAATTAATATATTATGGACTTGTTCAGCCAGTTCTACAATATGGATTAGTATTCTGGGGTTCCTCGTCACATGCTGATGAAGCATTCAGAGCATTTGCTGATGATACAAATATTCTGATGTCAAACACCGACATTGAACAATTAATTATGAATAGTAAGCTTTGTGAATATTGTGCTCAGAACGGTCTGCAATTGAATGTGACGAAAACATATTTTTTGCGGTTTTTACCAAGAAATATTACTCCTGACCAAAATCTTTACCTACATATCAATGGAAAATCAACCGAAGCTACAAAAACAATGAAATTTCTGGGTGTTACACTCGATCAAAAATTAACATGGAAGGCTCATATAAAAGCTGTATGCTCTATTCTAAGCACTTAAATTAATATATTATGGACTTGTTCAGGCAGTTCTACAATATGGATTAGTATTCTGGGGTTCCTCGTCACATGCTGATGAAGCATTCAGAGCATAGAAAAAAATATTAAGAGCTATGTTCAATGTCCATCCACTGTCAACATGTAAAGATCACAAATGAAAATTTTGCTCAGCTTATACATAATTCAAATATGTTTTTCCGTTAACCAGCTGTCACACCCCACGAACAACAACCCTCAGAAGTCGAAACTTGTGAGGGCTAAAGACTAACAAGGTCTTAACGTTTAACTTTGTTAAATTTTATTTTCTATTATTATATTTTATCTATTAGATATGTGAACTTGGTTTTGCTCTAATTGTGTTTTTGGGTATGTGTTTTTGAATTGTTTCTTTTCTTTTATTCTTTGAAGATTTTTTTAACAAGCTTTGTCAATAAGATTGTTTTTTCTTGGACAATAAAGTATATGTCTATCTATCTTATTGTTACTGACTAAATGTCAAATTTCTAGGAAAATATACCAATGATAACCAGGGAAATTTTGCTCCCATTGTAACCTTTGAATGCCGGGGATTTGAGCTCATCGACTTCACACCAGGAACAGGATGGATCGCGAAGGTAGAGGAAAGCGCAACAATATTCAAAAACGTTGATCTGTCAGATAAAGAATGGGTTGAATACGATGAGAAAAGTCATCAATCTGTTAGTGTTTTTTTACTTGAGTCGAGATTTGTTCCAGTGAAATAAATATTAAATATACATATTGAATATTTTTATTAATTACAGATCTAGGTTTTTGCAGTATTTGATGGAATGTATTGATATATGTATGGCACAAACTCTTTATTTTGTACAACCCTCATAGAGATCTATATATTGCGTGGAAATTTCATTTGGTTCCGATTTTTCAGGAAGCAGAAGTTCAGGGTTCAATTAAGAAAAGTAAACACTGGTTTCACGTAATTTACTTATTTAAAAAAGAGATTTGTCTTAAAGATTATGTACAGAAATAAGTCAGCAAGGAGTTTTTTTTTTTTAAATCAATGGACTACATGAAATAGGAATTTTCTGCTTTAATTTATACCAAAAGTAACATGTACCCTTGAATGTTATTTGTTACTTATAAAAAATTGACATTTTTATTTAATGGCATGACATTTTTTTCAAAAATTTTCAAAAATGTTTACATTTCTAAGACCATGACAAATTTTATCAAATCAGGACTAAATCGAGTTTTTTGTTTCTTGGGTGAATATGTTCATTCGAAAATAAAAGTTGATTTCATAGAAATATATGATCACTACGGAAATAGGAATTTAATTTGATTTTGATAGCGTGACAATGACTTTTAGTGAAAAATATCCATACGCTTTTTTATAACTCGGAGAGCAAAAAATCCACTTTCATAGAGCTCTGTTGGTTAAATAATGATCATATGTTACAGACATACGAAAACTTGGTATATGTGACAAATATACAACATATACTTTATATACAACTCTGATATCATTTATGTCACTTATGTATCTTTTTGCTAAAAGTAGTATTCAACTTTTTTTCATCAGTTAGAGTTTTGATTCATCTACTTGTTGGAAAAACGAATTTATCGCTCTTGAAAAAATCATAGTAGTGTTGAAAAATCAACAAGGTTTCAGAGAAACATTAGTGCTTATTATGCCGCTTACTTCAGAAAAGGTTACTTTGCACGTTACTTTAGAACAGGTTACTTTAATCAGCTGTATTGTAGCCCAATCACATACTCGATAACTGAAGCTAACGCCACACTACAACCGCAGATTGAAGGAATGATGTCACAGATACCTAGACCAATGATATTATGTACATAGTAGTAATACAGTGCAAAACTTTAAACGAGTTTTCCTCGAAAACTTGTACACCATGTTTCTTTTTTCGGCGAACATCTCATATATGCATAGTTGGAGAGATCTCGGACAACTTTCTCAAATGTTTTTTGTAATCACATTGATCTTTGATTTGTTTGAAAGCAGTGACATTTTTTAGCAAAGTTCTACCTGATTTAAACATTTTTGAATACAACTTCAATAAAAAAATATAACGTTGGGGAGTTAAGGTGAGACATCCTGTATAAAGAATAAAAATAACTTTTTGTAACCCAGAAAACTCTTCCCATCAATTCACCTTGGTGTCGGCGAATAATCTGTGAACAATTCTGAATCATCAGTTGGCCCGAAGAATGAATCTTCCACTAACTCTGATTCTGGGTCATCAAGGGGAGTTGACTGTAGATGGTCTTGAAGTGGTCTTGAACAGGGGCTGTCAGCTGGATTGAAGTCTGTTTCGTCTGATAGCAACAAGTCTGGCTCATCAGCCGATTGATGCTCAGACTCATCAGTTAACCTCAAATTGGGATCGCTAGCTGGACTAAACTCAGGATAATTCACCAGCCTTTCATTTTCAGCCATATAGAAATCAATGTTTCTCAATTTCAAATTCTCAACAGTTACATCTATATCATCGTCCTCATATTCCATATCCGTGTGGTACATGTATTCCACTCTAAAATCATCTCGGTCTTTATTATTTACCTTTTCACTATTTCTACTGTCTACTCTGGCAATTATCAACTTGTCTCTGTGAACATGACGTTTTCTCTTTTCTCGGTGAGCTGTCTTCACATGTTGTTCTCGCAGATATTTGCTCAAGAATTCTGTATCGCAGAATTTACACCGAATTGAATAAACGGAATGTTCGTCTAGATGCCTTTGCAATGCGCGCTGGTTTTCTAATTCGCACCTACAGTATAGGCAGGCAAATGAAAATACATCATGGATTCTTGAGTGAATCTCCAAATGCTGGAATGTTGTATACCTCTGCTGACATTCATCACAATAGTATAAAGCAAGCAACTTATGATCGATTATTTTATGTAAATTCAACACCTCTAAGTCTTCGAAGTACAAAGTGCAGTCTTTTTCTTGGCAAGTAAATCCATTCGCCTCTATTTCTTCTCTTCTTTCTTCTTCTTCTTGTGCTCTGCTAACAGATCGTGTACGTTTTTTAGTCAGACGGCCTTGATCATCATATTCAACAATTTGCTTTTTTCTCGCTGGTGATTTCCGACTATTATCAGTTACCTGCTTTTTTGTGGCTGGCGATCTCGATTTAGAACTGCGCGAAAACAATTCACTAGTCGATCGACTCCCACTCCTTGATTCTACAGATTTAGGCCTGCCTCTTTTGGGTCTGGTCCAATTATGGCCCTTTCTCTTCTTCCTACCTCTTGTTCCTCCATTGAGAATGTTTGACACTTCACTGGTATTTGAAGCAATGGTTCCACGGCCTGAAAATAAAACAATCTGACTTGACAAGAACTTCAATAATTTCTTCATCTCATTACTTACTCATACTCCTGAGTCGTTCTCGCTCTGCTATATGACTTTCCTCATTGCTTTGATAGGGAACAGAATATTTATGTTTGAGTAGTTTGGATGGTGTGAGAGTTTGATTTCTCTGAAGTTCATCTTTCAAGTCTTCTTCAATTTTGATAGAAGCAAAAATATTCCATAATTTCAAGAATTTACCAGGCTGTGGTTGATCACAGGGATTCGTAATTATTGACCATATATTCTTTCTGAGCATAGCCATATTGTCCAGCATATTCATACAGACATTGCAAACCACACTGTCAGGGGCTAGGTGCAAAGAAATCTGTAAACATTCATTAATTCATGTCCTTTTTCTTGGTACATACAGTGATTGCTTGCAAGAAAGCAATTCAACATGTAACTATATAAACAAACATTTTACCTTTTCTCCATAAATTTCCGCTAAATCATCTCCAACCGTATGGTTTATTGTTCCATAGTTTTTACTAACGCTGAACAATCTAATATCCGATTTTCTGCAAACCATACAAGACATTTTCACTATTAAATAATAAATATTACAGTATTATTATCAAACAACTACAAAAAACACCATCAACACAGTAACACACTAACGATAGCATCTACATATAGCAACTTTCCCGCATGGTTACATATCACATTCTTGTCACAGAACAATTCTACCAAATTAATATATGAATTATTGGCAATAATAGTTTGGTTGACAAAAAATAAGACATCGAAGATTATAATAAAAACAAACAAGAAATAATCTATCACAGTCTGTCTAGAAAAAAAAAATCAAAATTGATATATAAAAATTCATTAACAGTATCTGAGAAACTTAATTATGTTTCACATAATAGGAATATAACAAAAGCGTTTGTTTCGAATATAACAAAAACGCTACCTATAGCATTCCGGTAGCAAGCAATCCTTGCAATACTTTTTTAGTTCTCAATCTTCTTCCTTATTTTCTATTTTATGCACTTTTACATCATTTATCCTTATTGAATTTTGAGTTTTCATTTCTCATTGTTGCATTCTCACTTAATTTATTATTTGACTCGTTTATTATTTCACTTCCATTTTAAGTCACAATATTTGTTTTATTTTACAAATTAGCGTTGATATAATTTAAATTCATACTCCTTGTTTTTTTTTAATAATAATTCCTTCTTCAAATAACCCATAGAAATAACTCTTTGTAAAGATTTCAAAAGTAACTGCTTCACTAATCTATCCAGAGGATTGATCTTGACTTCGGACCAGAAATCTTGCGCTAAATTTTTTGCAAAAATATATGCAGCTTTTCTATTTCGACACTGATTGAAGCAAAGAAATTTCAAAATTTTTGTTCAGATCAAAAAACATCAAAAACTTTATAAAAGCTGTTTTTTCATTATCATGAAACTATGAACGCGATTGAAATTCTGAACAAGTTTTTCAGAACCAAAGACAAATACAAAAACGACAAAGGAGAGCATACTCTGTGACATTAACAACTACAATGATATGCATTCTGTGAAATATTTGAAATCACTTGAATATAGACAAGTGTATATTTCGTCCATGGAAAAAAATCATACCTCTGCGGAGAATACCAAATCGTTTTTCCTTTGGGAATACATGCTTAGGTCCTATGGAAGTTATGTCGAGAAAGGACTCCCTGGTGGAAAATAATTTCCACGAATTAGGCCGATGGCTATCGTCTGAGGTTCTAAAATTCTGTGGACTATAATTATTTACACCTTGTTACAGAGCATTGTGCTTCTATTAAAACTTTGGCAACGTTGTTGACGTACAGTTGTATTTTGCATAACTTCATACTCTCTTCTTTCTACTTCTTCCTTTTTGTTGAATGTAAATTCTCTCTTTTGAAATTTTAGAGTAGTGAGAATGGCTGCCGGGGTAAGGTTTTTTTCAAACTTGAAAATACTTCTCTTTCCGGTGACCATCCTATAAAAAATACAACTAATATATGAGACTCATAATTTGCTGCGTATCATCTAATATTTATTTTTGTAGACTTTGTACACTTATCCTGAAAATTTTCGTGCCGCTAAAGCTCTCATCGCTGCACAATATGCGAAGACATCTGTCAAATTAGCTCCAAATTTCGTTTTTGGAGAAACCAATAAAACCAAGGAATTTACGGATAAATTCCCGAGCGGCAAGGTAAGTCTGCCTCTCACAATTTTGAAAAAATGCAAATTCCAAGTATTGTGGAGAGGTTAAAAAGTTGAAAAAATTTTTTAGGTGCCTGCTTTCGAGTCCAATGATGGAAAGTGCCTACAGGATAGCAATGCTATCGCTTATTTCGTAGCTGATGACCAGTTGAGAGGCAAAAATGAGTTTGACAGGGCTCAGATTTTACAGTGGATTGGTTTTGCTGAAGGTGAGGTTTTACCCCCGGTCTGTGCTTGGGTATTTCCCGTTATTGGCATCCTCAAAAACACTGGTAGCAATCAGGAAGTAAGTACCAGTATCCTAGATGAAAATGTAATATTTCCTTAACCTAGTCTACTAACAAGAGTGTTTAGAGATGGGACCTCCACTTTCTATCACACTTTATATATTCTCTTCACAATTGCATGTTACGAAAATAGAAGTGTTGTCAAAACTGCATCTTTGCAAAGACATTATATATGAGGACCATGTAGAGGAAGACATTTGGAAAACATCATAAGGAACCGCCATCAAAAACATTTTGAAGCTTGAATTGAAAGGGGTATAATTTTAAGAAAGTAGTTGTTCAGGAGACTTTCCCATTCAGTTTGTATCTGAAAGTGATTTCTATGCATGATCTACACATCTTTGAACTTATTGGAAGATTCCTACAATTTTTATGTAAAGGGGGATGGAATAAAAAGCCAAGAAGCTTTGCTCGCAAAAAGATACCTTTTTCAATTTTCATTTTCATAGATCCATTAGAATATTCTTTTATAGACATGAAAAAGTCGACTCTTCATAATGACAAGTAAATCCAAATTTTTTAGTGTAACTAAACTACTAAGCTAGTAAAAACTAGCAAAGGAATGGAAAATTATACCCAGAATTAAAGAAAAATGTATTTGTGTTAACGATAGAGATGTTTATTTTTTAACACCACTTTGTTGGCAAGAATTCACTGTTCAGGCAATATTTTTTCTGTCATTCGTTGAAGAAGGTATTTTCAGTGTTTTCAAGTAGATGTTTTGGTTGGTTTCTGGGTATTGTCGTGGTCTTCTTTGGTTACAATCTTCAAACGTTTCAACTGCAACTGCAGCAGTCATTTACAGTGGTGTGGTCGAAGTACTCTTCTTGACGTATCAACTTAAAATGAAAGTTTCAGTTGAAACTTTCAGCTTCAGTTGATATGTCAAGAAAAGTTTGTTTTTTTGAGTTTGAAGTTATTTTTATCTTTATATCCAATCTATATATCTTGGTCTGTGTCTCTTAATTTAAGTCTCAAGTAAAAGGTTCAATGTTTATGATCTGCTTTATAGTTTTCAATTCATGTAGGAATTCACTCTCCGATTAGCTGTTTCAATTATAATCACATTGAATTCAAAATTTCATTTTTGTCGATCTTTGTGTTTTATGCTCCTAGAATTTTTATATATCAACTTTGAAATTGTAAACAATGACACCACAGCAATCAAATATCTGAAATGTTTTGATATCACAACCTTCTAATATTTCCGTTGAACATTTTCTCACAATTTCCAGAACCTTCTGTAGTTCAGGAAAAATCTGAACTTTTTTTTTGTTCCATTCTCATTTTGGCTTTCACAGTATTTACTTCAGGAGAGGTTTCTATGAAAAATTACCTGGTGTTGTCCCTATTAATTTGAAGTTGATATGACATTTCTTAGAGAAGAAATAATAGTGCAAAAACCAATAAGCAGAAATCCAACCTCATTGTTAATTTCTTAAATATTTGTGAAATAAAATTGAGTAATCCACTAGTATCTTTCATTTTGTGAATTTTCGGAATTCTATTTTACGTTTGTCAGGAGTTTCACATAAATTTAGTAGCTGAAGTGAAACAGATGATTTTTCTTGAACATATTTTTCATTGATTTGATCTTAGGATGTATTTTGTTACTGATTTGATCAACTCCCAAGAGGAGCCTTAATCAATATTGTTCATTGAGAATAGCTAGATGTAAAATGGGGGATGGAAAATGAAAATTTGCTTTTTCATTAATTTCTGGTGGTTGCCACATGGGAAAACTCAATTGGAAATAGGTATGATGATAATAAAAAATCCTCACAATATTGACCTTACTTCGAATACACATTTCACTGCAACAGTAGCTAGCTTCCTCAGTCCAACTGAAAATTTGTAATTATTATCATAGTGTAATCAATTTTCACCAAGCAACAGGCCACTGTACTTGAAATATTACTTTTTTCAAAATTAAACCAAAAAAACGAATGCCTTGATATTTTTTCCCTGAAAGTTATGTTTTTCGTAGGCATCTCAAAGAGCGAAAGAAGACATGAAGGCTGCACTCACTATTCTCAATGCCCATTTGCTCACCCGTACTTATTTGGTTGGAGAGAGGGTCACTCTTGCTGATATAGTAGTAGCTTGCAATTTACTGAATGCCTACAAGTATGTCCTTGATCCCGACTATAGGAAGCCATTTGTTAATGTGAATAGATGGTTCAACACCCTAGTAAACCAACGGGAATTCAAAGAGGTTCTTGGTCAAGTAGAACTTTGCAGTAAACCAGCTCAAATTGGTGCCGTTAAACCAGCAGCTCAAGGTAAACATTTTCTTCCATTAACTAGGGTTATTTCGACTACTATGTTTCTATAACTTTGAAAATTATTGAAGAGAATAATGAAAAAGTAACTGAATATCTGAAAAAAATAAAATTTGTGTTGGAAAACTTCATATGGGGTGTTCAAAACGATGAGTTACAACTTGGAATCGATAACTTGGAATCAATAACTTGTCGCATTTAATTATTTTTATCATTGCTGAATTTCGATCAGTTACATCGAAAACCAGTGTTGATGAATCTGATGGGTTCGTGTTAGCTGTCAATTGTCTACTAGTAGTGGGGCTAAATGCGGTTATATATATGAAAACAAAGTTTGAATTTGGAAAGAAGTATTTCTACAGCATTTGTTATTTGTCATTGTAAGCAGTGTTGTGATGTGGCTAAAAATTTTGAGAATTTGTTAATATTCATGTCAAATAAATATGTGAGGAAATATTTTGGTTTTGGCAATAAAGGCATCCCGTCACTTGTAAATTCAGGTCACTGTTCGTTCTTTAACCAAAAATAAATAATCTTCATTGGATTCATCTAAACTCTTCTGGTGATGTCGTTTGACAACTTTTACAATTAATTGGTGGGATTCATCTTTTGAAGAAAAGAATGCACAGTTATGTTTACATAGGTCTCGATAGCATGTCGTCATTCAGACGACACAAAATTCCGTTTTCTGCAGTGTAAGGGTTTTACTATATTTGTGCATGTATTAAGAAATTAAAATTTAATTTCAATACAAAAACTATAAATCTAGTTTCCCTTCCCAGTTTTCTCTAATTTTTGAACCAAATCATTCTTGTTACATATGAATAAATCCTTAATTTTTCTGGATTTCTTCAAGTGTTTTCTTAATTTAATGAATCTGCTTATAAGCATTTGATTTCGTTTGGTAATTCATTAAATAATTAATTGTGGCATAAGACATATGTTTTTCTGTCGATGCTTATCTAGTTTAATAAATTATATCAATACTGCAGGTAGTATAGTTAGGATTCTCACTTCCTACTTTGAATTTCAATTTATTTTTAAAAAGGTATACATTCACTAAGATGTAAACCTAACTTAGTCAAAATGCTCATTATTTTATTTTTTTTAACAAGCTGCTTTGAGAGAACACGATGGACCTGTTAATACAAACAAAAAAAAGAGTAAGTTGGTAGGCTGATTGAAATTACTATCTAGAATTCTGGATTTCACAGAAAACTCGTAGTTGCGTTGAACCTCTTCAAACAAATGAATACAAGGTCTGTTGAAAAATAAGGTAAATTTTTTCTTTTTATTTTTTCATCAATTTCTATTTTGTCCTCTTCAATGTAGTCCAGGGTTTTTTCCAATCCTCAAAGCAGTTTTGAGATGCTTTTTTTGGTATATCCCTGAGTTATCTTAAGGATATGTGTTCGTGTGACGGTTTTTTGGGTCAAAATTCAGCAGTTTTTCTTCATTTTGTCACCAACAAACTATGAACATGGTAAACAGTTGAAACTCTGAACATATGTTCGAGACAAGTTAATCGAATGTATGTTACCTTATTTTTACAACATACCTTGTATTTGAATTTTTCTTCTGTATTGTATATAATTATATTTCTAAATAATCTAGATATCTCAAAAACTGTCTTCTGGCTATAATTGACAGATCTTACTATTGATCTTAATCTCATTTATTCATAATTGACTGTTGATAGTGGATAGGTTAGCCACAATCTATAGTTTTGATCACCGATTAACTATAATTGACTACGGATTGTTAGTTAACCACAGCTAACTTATAGTTTAAACTGTAAATTATGGTTGACCGACAATTTTGAGCTCCTAATTATAGATAATTGACATTTTGAACTGTCGATTTTGGTTGATTATGGTTAATCGAGTTTGATCTTGCCTGATCAATAGTAGTAGTAGTCGTAGAAGTAACTTTATTTATAATTAAAGCAGTCTACAATTCCTCTCAGGAGAATAAAAATTACATTAAACATTTAAAATGTCGAGAAGCTGCCTATCTTTTAGAACTTCATAAGACTATAACATTTATATTAAAGGCATTATGCTGCCAAATGCTCTTCCAGAGAATATAATGCATTATTAATAAGAAATGCATAAAGCCCCTCTTTCCATTTATTAAAATTGTCCTCATTTTTCGTTTCTCTGAACATGAGCAAAATAGACACTTACCATTTATACAGTGCCTTTGTATGATATGATTATTAAATAAAACCACTTTTCCACTGGATTGTTCTATTTAGTCCTAATGTGTTCAACGGTGGATTCGAAGAACTTGTCTAGAAACAGTTAAGCCGAAAACATTGATGCTTTGCGTAAAAAATTATGCACGATTATTATTTGTGAAAACTTCTGATAGAGGCTTTTCTGACTTCCATTTTATACTTTAATAGTATTAAGTGATTTCACCAGAAAAAGATATTTGTATCTTTATCAGAAGAAACTGTAGGCAAGACTAATTAACATTAGAGTCGCAATAAAATGTTGAAATGAAATGACTGGATGCTTTTTCAGATTTTCTTTTGTAAAAAAACTTATTGAGGTCTTGTTATAAATATATAAATGTGATCTTTGACTCAACATTTTGAATGAGATTCCAGTTGAGATTGTGAAAGGAATATTATTTATAGAGATTAGTTTTTGTGAAAGAAGCGTTTTGGCTTTCTACGTTTTTTTTTTAAGTTGATTTCTTTCTTCCTTTCTTTGGAAGTTTCCCACATTTTCAGTTTGAAAATTGATAAGTAGGAAGTCAAAACACTTTTGCCCTCAGTTGATTTTTCTATGGATGTTTCTGTGTGATTTTACTTTCCACAAATTGAAAAAAAATGTAATGCGAGATGTTCAAAAGGCAAACATTTAGTTCACTCTGATAAGTAATTGTGTAAATTCAATGTATTTTTCACAAAGGAATATACAAAATTTTTCAGTAATTTGCATATTTTATATTTACGTCTGTCACAAAAAAAGCTAAAAATTGAACAGTACAAAACTTTTAAGTTATAGTTGATTTTTTTCAGCTCTGAGGACAGGAGTAGATTTTGGTCCTCAAAATGTTGAAATAAAATGTAAAAAAGACATTGAATTTGCCCAATAAATTATCGAGGTGAAATAGAAGTTTGCCTTTATCATCTATACAAATTACTCTCTTACATAATTTTTTAAAAATTGTGGAAAATGAGAATTCCTTGAAAAATCCATAAAAAAAACTTTGATTCCCTTAACAAAATTGCTTATCAGTAATATTTCGAAACACCAAACTAAACCATGATTTCATGTATGATTCTTAAAGATTAAGTAGACTTATTACCTATTCAAATCATCTATGCTTTTTGTCCTATGTCTCTCAAAGGCAAGTGTTTGTGCTCAAATCATAATACTTGTAACAAAGAGACGAAAAGAAAATTGGATATTCCACACCTTCTTCTTCAGTATATATGTTTATAAGAAAGGTACTAAAATGTCCAAACATTATTGTCTATATCCACTTTGATCCTTTTTTTTTTTTCATTTGATATACGTTCTGAGAAATATTTTTCACATTTAGGCAAAGGAAAGAAGGAGGAAAAGAAACAGGAGAAGAAGAGTGAAAAGAAACAAGAGAAGAAGCAAGAGGCTCCCGAACCAGAAGAGCTAGAAGAAGAGAAACCCAAGAAACAAGAGGATCCTTTCGCAGCTATGCCCAAAGGGTGAGTTTTGGGTAGTTCAACAATTTAAAATTCTTGAAATGTTGCTAAGCATATATTTTAAAATAATTTGATCAAGTCCTTAGTCAAATATGTTTGGTGCATTTAATCCATAAAAGCTAAATTATGGAACTATTCATGTAGAAATTTATAAAACTCCAAAAAACTCACTTTCGACCTATTAAATAAAAGTAAAATGTATATTTTGCAGTTAATGATGAACATCACAGAAAATCAATAAATTCTCACTGCAAATTATGACTTCATAACATATTTAATCTCTCACATTTAGAAATTTTGCATAATTGTTACAATTTGAATATTTTTTTACACAGTAAGAGTCCTAACAATCAACATAGGTTTCTGGCATGTCTAATAAATGTGTGACATGAATGTTTATACATTGAATTGTGTGACGTTCTAGATAAATTAATTGTACTTTTTTTTGTTTCAGTACTTTCGACATGGACGATTTCAAAAGATTCTACTCCAACGAAGAAGAAAGCAAATCCATCCCATACTTCTGGCAGAAATTCGACCCAGAAAACTACTCCATATGGTACTGCGAGTACAAATATCCTGAAGAACTCGCCAAAGTCTTCATGAGCTGCAACCTCATAACCGGCATGTTCCAGAGGTTAGACAAAATGCGTAAGCAGGCGTTTGCGTCGGTATGTCTTTTTGGAGAAGACAACAACAGCACCATTTCGGGCGTTTGGGTGTGGCGAGGCCAGGAACTTGCTTTCCCGGTAAGTTACAGTTTTAAAGGATCGCTCCTTTAATTTTGTGATTTTTTTTGTATGAGACTCTTATTGTAGACTAGAGAGAGACTTGAGTGAGAGGTGTTGACTGGAGAGAGAGATAAGAGATTACTATAGACAGACATAGAGAGAGATTGGAAAGAGATGACCAAAGGGATATGTAAATATAAAGAAAGGTATGAAGAGGAGGGAGAGGGGAATAGTAGGAAAGAGACCAGACTTTTTGAGAGGAACGATTAGAAAGAGATAGAAGGGACTAGAGCAACAAAGAACATTTGGAGAGAAGATTGAGGAGGGACTAGAAAGAGAGAAGAGATGGAAGGGATAAGATAAGAGAGAGACACAAGAAGTTAGGAAAATGAGAGACTAGGAGATAAGAGAGAGAATGTCATGACATAGACAATACATTAGAGACAGGAGGATCTTGAGAGAGGAAGAGTGGGAGAATGACCTTAGAGTGGAAAAGAGAGGAAAATGAGGTCAGAGATGGAGGTTGGCAGAAAGAGGGAAATAAGGGTATAGAGGGGGAGATGGACAGAGGAAAACGGGTAAGTGAGGGGAAGGGAGAGAGAAGGTACGAGAGACTAGAAGACTAGAGGAAAGAGAGTGTATGGAGTGGAGACAGAATGGGTCAGAGTGAGTAAGGGCATTAGAGGGAGTAAAAATGACTAGAGAAATGGAGAACGGGCCAGAGGGATGCAGAAGGAATTAGAGAGATGAAAATGGATTAGAAGAGAGGGAGAGAGGATTTGAGAAAGAAGGGATTAGAGAAATAAAAGGCAAGAAAGGAACATAAGGGCCTTGAGGATAGGAAAGATTGAGAAACGAGATCAGGAAAATTTGAATTGAGAAATGAAGATATGGGGAATAGAGATGAAAATGAGAAATAATGGAGTGCAGAGAAAATGTATTAGATTATTAAAAAAAAAACAATAATTAAGGGGAAGGGATAGTGACATGTCAGAAATTTTTAGCTGGTAGTGGATTTCATTCAATTACAAGATATAATTGTCTGAATTTTCAAATTTTAATTACACGTTTGAAAAAACTGAGGATTGAGGAATTTTGATGGTATCGCTAGAAATATTTCAAATGAATTTAGAAGGCACTGAGGGAACAAGGGAAGAAATGTAAATGAAGTATTTCTGAAGACAGATATAAAGGGAAAGAAAAGTGTTGAGTGAGAGATGGAAATGATAAACTGAAATATGATAAGCCTATATTGAGTCTCCCTAATTTATATGTTTTTTTTCAGTTGAGCCCCGATTGGCAAATAGATTATGAATCATATGACTGGAAAAAACTAGATGCTAGTTCCGAAGAAACTAAAAAATTAGTGGAGCAATACTTCTCTTGGACCGGTACCGACAAAGGCGGTAGAAAATTCAATCAAGGCAAAGTTTTCAAATAACTTTTATTTGATTGTATGCTAACGATTTGTTATATACTCTGTATGTTTGAGATGAAAAATCAGGGCTGTTTTTTATTTTACAATTTTTTAAAACAAAATTATTGACTTTTCAATGGAAGACTTAACGTGCTTTGATTTTGACAGAATTCTGAATAAAAATTTTGAAAATTTTTGTTTTTTTTTTACGCTTTTGAAACGATCAATGTCTGAAAATTGTATTTCTTCCAACAGGACTATTCTTGAACAATCTATGTAGGAGGTGAATAAAAATTATTTTCAAATTATTCCTGTATTACTATCTTGAATAGATGCCAAACAAATTGAAATACTTTCTTCAATAATTTAAGAAAAAAGTTATTACTAAAAGTTCTGTAAGGACTGAACATGAAATGCCACTTTCTACTGTCGAATTATTTCAGTTTTATACGAGGTTTATAAAAAAATATGAATTTTGCCCAAAATTAAATAAAGTAACTTTATATTTAACATTGAAAGTTATGAAAGAAGGTAATCAGAATTGAAAATTACCTTCAAACCCATAATTTAACTAATTACAATTTTTTTGGAATATCTCAAAACTCGTGTTCAGTAACTGTGAAAGTTTAACTGTGATTATTGGACATGCAAAAAAATTTGAAAACAGGAAGCAGAGAGTTTCTCCCGTTTTTATGGATGCTGGAGAGATGAATGTTTATTACGTTGCTTTTAGAACGGCCATAAATTATTTTGAAAAAAAAAAACAAAATGTTGTGTTTCAAATCGGAGTTTAACAAAATTTCGTCTTAATTTAATGTCAAAGCCCGAATTTATCAAAAAATGTAAGATTGAAATCTGAACTTGATAAAATTATCATTAAATTTCAGGACATTTCTGGGTATATTGTCAAAGCCTGTCAGATTCATCGTGTTTTCGTACATTACAGTAAAGATGGAATCAGTGGTAATGTGAAAGCTGATGAAGATGTAATATGAACAAAATACTGAATTACTTGAATGTGGTGAAATCGTGAAATTCAAAGTTTTTACATGTCCTTCTTAATATTGCACGTCGATTATCAGTATTGCCAACCACGAAAATTCCTGAAACGCGCAACCATTTTTACGTGAAATTGGTCAATTTATTCTAAATTTTGTTTCATTATAGTTTCTATTTTTGTATAATAATAGAGTATATAGAAAATATTAACTAGGTTTTTTCCAAGTAATGAGAGTAATGCGTCAAATTCACTGTATACATTTTTTTTTAGTAACACCAAAGAAACTTCACTAATTTATTGATATTCATCAAATTATAAATTGCTATTTTTATTTTTTTCATATCAGAAAGTGGTTGAAGATTTTTGTTAAGGAAAAGCCCCTATATTGAAAATACTCACTTGAAAGAGGTTTCATTCTAAATCAAAGGAAGTGAATTTGCTTATTTGTGTTTATTTTTATTAGTCATTTATGAAAGTGCTGATTAAATCTACAGCACTTATAATACAGTTGTTATTATATGCTGAACAGTTACCCGTTTTTCCCAATAGTTCCGCCTTCTCATATTCTGATGGTAGTTCTAAGTTTTTAGAATTTGATGGCCTGAAAAAGGAAAAAAATCTAAGAAGTGCATTTTCAATTCCTTCAATATTTAATAGTCAGTTGGTCTAGAGGTTCTATATATATATATTTTTTCTCTTTCTGAATTTAACTGCTAAGATGATGACATGTAGTATTCAGGTTGGCTAACCTGAACTAATAAGCAATTATGAAAGAGTCTGAAATATTTTATAGTTCTCAAAATACATGAGAAAAAACTTTGAATGTGCCTTTTCGGTTGTTTTTGAGAGGTAAAATGTAGGTATTTTGTATTTTACAGAGTCTCAAACACTATCATATTACTTTTAAATTCGACATTCATTATCACATCTCCCCATCAAAAACATTTTTTTCATCAGGAACCGGCATACTTTTTCATCTCATATTTGTAATCATCTTGTAACCATATATATAAAAAAAATCGATTCTATAATATTTCGTTCATTTCAAACCCTGTTCAGTGAATGCATGCATACAAGAGGCTTTAGGCAAATTTGTCATTATTTTGTAACCGTAGGTATATCAAAAAAATTGATTCTATAATATTTCGTTAATTTCAAACCCTGTTCAGTGAATGCATGCAATACAACAAGAGGCTTAGGAGGTTTTGAACAGCAAACAACCGGTTTTATTGACATAGACCGGAGTTCTCCAAAAGAGCACATGCAGATCACAGCTATCAGGATCATAATCAAGATCAATGTGAAATAAGCCTAATATAACAGTCGTTTTATAACAACTTCAATGAAATGAAGCTTATAGATGAGAAATGAGTGCATTGCAGGGAATCCACCTACACTAGATAATAACGGATAGGGATTTTATTTGGAGCACATGTTTCTCTGAGTTGGCTACTTTTTTTTGTGTCATTAATGTTATTTCTCTTGATAATTGGCCATAGTTACGTGAAGATGGTTGTTGATTCGAGCGTTTCATTATTGGCATCACTGATATTTCATGTAATTACTGCACTGACAAAAATCACGAAGTGGGCGACATCTATATATAGCAGAGTGAACCACTTTACTAGTGGAAAATAAAAATTTTACACTACACGAGAACAGTAAACCACGCGCTTTATTATAAAGCCATACATAAATGAAAATCTAGTGGGTGGAAGAAAAACTGGCCCCATTTCCATAATACAATACAATACAATACTTTATTTTTCATGAGACTTTTTTACAAGCATGGAAATCGTCATATACACAGTAAAGATTGGAGTTGAAAAATATCAAGTGACACAAAATATTAATAATAAATCAGATTTCCTATAGGAACTATTTGAACAGAATACATTTTCGCCTGAAATGATTTATTTTATAAAAGTTATAGAAAATTTTATTAAAACAACGATAAAAATGAAAACAACAATAAAAATTAATTGGCGCTCCGGGGCGACTTCATTTTATCAATATATAATATCCCTCCGATTATCAACTGAACTAACCGCCACTGTTTTATGGTCCACAAACCTGTCATTACTCTCCATAACCCGTCATTACACGCCACCCCCCTCACCCATAAGTTATACAGAAAAGGATAGTACGATACCCGTTTCAAAAAACATGTATTGTATTGGTATAGGCATGGCAACTCTGTCTTATTTTTACTCTGTGATAATATACTATTTACATATGTCAAATGTCTCTTCTGACAATTGACTGGGTTTTGGGTTCGAATATCCACTTTCGAATATCCACGTTCGGATATCCAAATGCTTGGTTAATACTCTACAGGAAGATGACTGAGACAAATTCTAACGATCATGTTAGTATTTTATATGCATCTAGAATCTAGACGAATCATTACTTTACATGAGCTTCAAAAGACAGTATTTTTTACGTCAGAGGTTTCAGATTTTAATTAGTAACTCAAAAGTGCGAAATAGAAATATTTTCATTTGACACATATGACACAACTAATGAAGAATATACAGAAGAACCAACGTAGAAAAATACATGTGCTTCAAGTTATCACTATTTTTGTATATTATACAGGGAGAACATGTGAGACATAACTTTCAGTGAAAGTGTTGTTATGGATACTTGAATTGATACTCACGTGAGAATTATATGGAAAATATTTCCTAACACTCCACTTGCTTCATGTACAGAATGCATAGAAACTTCACATATGGCTCGTAATAGGCAGAACTTTCCCGGAAAACCACGTCTAAAATTGTAATAGTTATTGTTTCTTGAGGTTATTCCTATTTATAATATAATATAGGTTTCTATAAGATGACACGTAACACCCATAAAATAATGAAAAAACTTTCAGTTTTCAAAAAATTCTTGGATTATATTCACATTATCAAAAAACTGTGACTCCACACTATGACTCCACAAGTTGTCGGATCAACTCCGTATTATCTAAATAAATAATTGTTTCCTGAAAGATCTACTATGAAAAATTAGATTTTGTGAAAACCCTAAAAAGTGTTTTGACGTTTAGGTTGACAGGATTAGGAAGAACAAAATAAACATGCTATATCTTCCTTCGGCATCAGGAAATTAACCAACTGTTTCAATTATCCCTTTACATCACCGACATAACCTATAACTTATGTCGATGATTTACGTCGACATGATAATCCAAAATGCCACATTACTTATAGAAAGTAAACACAGAGGGCATACTAATATTTCCAACTATTTACAACAGTTTATTTCACGTTGAGAGTCGACTTACGATTTGAAATTGTTTTCTAGAAAACTATAGAACAATTTTCTCTCTAGTCCTCGTCCCATAAGTGGTGGATATTCGAAGGAGCTTTGGTTGGGTGGTAATCTATGGACAGCATCAATGAAGAAGCCAGAGTAAGTATTTGTGGGTGGCAAATCGACTGGAATTACAACTGCCATGTAAAACTGAAAAATAAAGTATTTGTTGGATGAAATCAAATGCGGCGGTGAGTATATAATTGAGAATAATAGCTATATCTCAATTGGATAATTTTACACGCAAGCCATAAACTTGCCCTTTTTACTTATGTTTATTACGACGAAGTAATGATGCAAGTGCTGAAAATAAAAAAAAATCATTCAACTGAAAGATTTCAAGCCATTACGGTGGTGTGAAAATAATAATTGTAAATCAACTATTTTGTATTTGTTAAATGATACATTCCCAAACCGTCAGTTGAGACACTGTCGTTTAATACCTTTCAAATCTATTGTTTTGTTTACTTGAAAAGTTTCTACTAGTGGTCATAATAAATTGTCATAGTTTGTTGAGATAAAATGTTTAATGATTATTTCTTTTGATTTATTCGTATAGTAACATTATAGCGATTACTAACCTTTCAGCAGTCTCAGTTTTTTGCCCTTTCGCGAAAGTCCACAAACTTTTAGCCCTTTTCTTTATTCACAATTATATCATCGACTTAACTATAAACGAGTAGAGCATCATTGATAAGTCGTTCTAACGATTTATTTGTTTGTGTGGATAATATTTCTTCTCTAGCCATTATTGCACAAAACAGTATTGACGTTTCAAACTACCGCTCTACCAACATGGCGACGCGCTTGCGCCCTTCTTGTCACGAAAAGGCATATACCTTATAAACAAAGCAATTTTGAAAGAAATCTACTCACCCCCATTGTCGCTCTGCTTCTGAATCGCAACTTCGCTAAATTTGGAAACGAGAAATCATTGGAATTACTTTGTCCTAGGCACGCCATAAACCACATGAACATCCATACAATTTTACTTTTTATGTTAACGTATCTCCAGAAATTGCGTTCTCTATGAATACTTTTTGGTGAGTTTCGGAGAATAACTTTCATCCTAAAACTGCAGGTGCAGGTGCTAATTCACACGCTGGAATTTTGAAACGTATTTCAAATTCTTGAGGTAACACCACAGTAGAAGTTGATTTTTACTTTATATAGTTTTTTTATGATAAAATGACTGGAGAGGCGCCTGTGGAAACTTCACAGCCTAAACAGAAGCGAGATAATCTGAAATACCAAGCAAGTACTGCTATGTTTTGTTATCGTCGCTAATTACTTCTACAAACAGTTTCAGTTACAGAAATAATAGGAATTGTATTTTGAATCGACATACATTGAAATCTTATCTGATATTTAGCATTTTCGTGTAGCAGTATTGTGCTTACCCAAGTTTTTGAATAGAGATGCGCGAAAAGAAGTCTTTAAACTTTTATGAGAGCGGTGATAAAGTAGCGATTAAAGTTGTATTCAACTCACTGTAGATTATCCCGGGAAGATTATTGCACGACGAAGTTTTGAAAACGAAAGAGATCTTAAATTGTGTAGTTTAAGGTGTGTTAAGTTGAACTTCGAAGCAATGACACCTGTTTTTATAGCGTACCTACTGTCATACCATGTAGACGTAAAAAGTCCCTCTTTTCTATTTGTGTACGAAACACGACGACAAGGTCCGAGAAAATTAATGTAAAAAGACATCATTTTTGCCAAATCTAGCGGTGCCTCCGAATATTGAACGCGCATTAGATCAGCCGGCGGAGTAAGGCCAGAGCTCATTATCATCGAGGAACTCGAGTAGTCAACATCGTGTAAGTGGCGAAATTATTATGTGTGGTGAACTGTGAGTTATTTATTGTTTTTGGAAATGCCTTCGAACAATCAATTGAAAACAAAGTTCTCAGTGGACAAAGCAGAGACATTGTGAACAACGGTTTATAGGTTTATGCATCTTCAGGGTAGGGTTACTTTACAAATTGATTTACATCAGTAGTTAGTAGTCTGTATTTTTGGTTGGAGTATCCGGGTCCATAGCGGTGGTCGTTCTTGAGGGATAGGGTTTTGTTACGCCGGGGGAGGTATGCCTGAGACTTCAGAGTGTTCCAGGCCGTGCGCTGTCCTTTATCTGATCGCCAGTGGGTACTCCGCTAGAATATCCTGGATTTGCTCCATCGGGTCTTCTACTGGCTGGGGGAAACGGAAGCTTCTTCCTTGGTATCTTTCTGAGGCCTCCACGTGGTGTCCAAGGGGTGGTGAGGGTGCTGATGGTAGCGGTGTTGTTGTTTCCGACTTCCCTAAGCAGTGGAAAACGGCTCGAATTTGTCCGATATTAAAAAAAGGGGACTCTAGCGATATCACAAATTACAGGGCAATTTCAATTTTATGTAACTTTTCTAAACTCTTTGAGATATGTGTGCAAAATGTTATGTACTTCCATATTCAAAAAGTTATTTCTCCTACTCAGCATGGTTTCGTGCAACAAAGATCATGTATGACAAATCTTTCATGTTTGAATCAATATCTCTGTACGTACCTGGACAAGCAAAAACAAGTCGATGTTGTTTATTCAGACTTTCAAAAAGCCTTCGGCCAAATAGACCATTATGTTTTTCTCAGAAAATTGACAAAATTGGGACTTTCTAACCAACTACTCACTCTAATCGAATCATATGTAGTTAACAGAAAATAATTCGTTGAATATGAATCTTTCAAATCGGGTCAGGACGTAATTACATCTGGAGTACCACAAGGTTCTAATTTTGGACCTCTTTTATTTTTATTAATGATTTGTCACGAGAGGCATCGATCATAATATTTTGTTGACACGATTTGATATGACATCTTTGGAAAATAGGAGAGTTATCCTTGGTATAAAATTCCTGCAAAAATTACTAAACAACAACATTGACAGTACGGTTCTTTTACCCGAGATTAATTTCTTAGTACCTAGAAGTGAAGGTCGACACAATCTGAAATTCTATTGCGAAGCATCACGCACAAATGTTATGCTTCGATCACCATTGAATTTTAAGTGCAGTAGCTTCAATAAACATTGCGATATTCATTTCGACTCTCTGAACGCCTTGGTATCATGTATCCACAATCACTTTTAATAATACTATAAACAACATTTGTGTCAGTACTGCTACATTGCATGATTTGTAACTTTTTGTGTTATATACTCAATTTTTCATTCCTCTTTTGAAATTCTACGTATACGAATATTTTATATATACTTTGTTTTCGTATTTACTTTTATTTTTAATATTTATTTCATATATATTCTGTAATAATAGCATTTCCTGTAGCTGGGTACTCCCGTTGAAGGTAAATCGCTTTTTTTTCCTCATGGCTTCAGCAGCAGATCGGCCTTGTAAATCCTGAAATCTCAAGTTGACTGGGATAACATTAATTCGGTTATATAAACCTTGGGAGAGGTATCTGTTTGAAAAATCTGTTTAAAATCTGTTTTTCCGTAAATCAGCTGTCTTCCCCATACGAACGACAACTCTCAGATGTTGAGAAGCTTGTGCGAGCTAAGGACTAACGAGGTCTTACCTTTTAACGTGTGATTCCTAACACGGTTGCAGAATCATCCCAGCTTCAACCAGATAAATTCTCTCGAGAAAAATATCTGGGCGAGGCAGGAATCGAACCCACGGTCTTCCGATCGTGAGTCGGGCGCACTACCACCGCGGCCAATTCCACAATTCCAATACCCAGTATCGAAATGGAAGGTTATGGATGTTTTGTAGGATTCGTCTCTGGGAGAGCGTGCAGTAGGTGGTGGTTTTAAAATCCAGGTTCGGTCTTATGAACATTTTTTACGTGTGTAAAAGAGTAACTGTCGCATCTCCCGAGCTTGCCTTTCAGTGCTTTAAGGAGACTGGCTCTTTTCTGGACTCTGACCAGTTGAGGGTACTCGTAAATACCAATTAGGACACCACGTCTTGGAGTTGGAGGTTCTCTTTCAATAGTCGGAGGTGCAAGTTGTTAGTACTTAGTCTGGGGCGGGTAGTGGTATTAGGCTGTCTGAATAGGATGGTTTGGGTTTTGTAGGGGTTTATTTTGATGCATCAGTGCTTGAAGTGTTAGATGCGGGTGTTAGGGGCGGAGAGAGAAGAGTATTGTGTCATCGTATTTTCGCATCATACAGACTATATCATTGAAAAATTTATGTAATACCCCTAGCCCGGCGCATACTGATACTATCAACGCAATACGAGAAAAAGCGTCGGCCGCCTCCTTTGACGTTGTTAGTCGCAAGTCACTATTTTAATGGAGGTTAGCGGCGTCCTCAAGGGGCATAGCGGGTAGAAATATCTCAGTGTTTTTGTGGATGAATTGCATCACTTGCTTTAGATGACTATGTTACTTTCTTTGATATACTGGCATGTTTGCATACTTGAAATTCTTTCACTCTCAGACAATACCGAATGGACTATAATCAAGTACCTATATCTTTTCTTATAAAGCCAAATAACGAAGCGTAAATGAAAAACAGGTATTTGGAACAAAATTTATTATTTTAATCATGCCCTGTAGTACATATAATATCCTATTGATGTTTACATTGACAGAACAACAAACATTGCTACTTACTTTAGAATATTGATTGGTCTTTGCCTCAGACGTATAGGTGGAAGAGAAGGGTTTTCGCAAAACAATATTATCATTCCCAAACTTGTGAAAAAATATGTAGTTCTGTTGATATAAAAATGTGTTTGGAAACTGGAATGATAGTATCATTTGCGTTTGAGTGGAATAACAAAGATTGTACATGGGCGAATATTTATACTTTGAAAAACACAACGATTTTATATAGATTTTCGTGTTAACATATGATATACGATGTGTGTTATTTGATTTATTATATATAATACATGTTAACTTTACAAAACATTTGTAGGATGCGTTCCTCGAGTGAAAATCTGATTGAATGTGGGAACGTGATGTGATTGGTAATACATTTGGATTATCGTTAAGAGAGCTGCAGTTCTGAAATTTATTTCTTTTCTCTTACAAGAATCCTACACGAGGTCTTTATTTATCAGAGATTATATTTCAAAACAGTTACTCACAGATTTTAAGACAGATTAGAGTGAGTAAAAAAGAGTCCCTTTAACTTCAAATTCACTATTTCATACTATTTTTTTGGGTTTATAACCTTCCACAATCTGAAAAAATAAAAGATTGTGGTTATGAACCCCATAAAACAGTATAAAATATTAAGTCTTCCACAAAAAAATGTTGTTTAAAGAATATTCAAATTCACATACTCGATATTCCCGTATGAAAGTATTATTTTCCATGATCACAAGCGTGGATTGGAAAGTACAAAAAGTTTCATTGAATTTGAGTTGTGTATAGATATAGAACGTATTCTTTGCAAGAAACTTGAGTCTAAGTTACTATTTAGACTAGAGAATATATAATCTAGTTTTTACTACGATATCTGAATGACTTTGAGTTGCAAATAACATATACAGTGTGACCAGTATGAACTTTTTTTGATATTAGCTTTATGCAAAATTCAAATTCGGCATCAATTCCTGCTTCAATCGAAATGAAAAATAACTGCCACGAAATTTGTATAATTTGTCTGAATTCAGTAAAAAAATTCCAGAAAAGGAGTTATTACTCCTTCGAGTAATCGAAGGAGTAATAACTCCTTCGAAGATATCGAAAAAACTTATCAGTGACAGTTTTCCTAATTGAAATTATAGTTTGGATGCACAATTGTAGTTGAATGAAATGTGTATTTTTGAATAAAATTGTAATAGGGATCTTGAGTATGTTTTTGATCTTGTATAAGGTAACTTCATTGAATAACCATTTTTGAAAAAGTTGTCTCAATATACAGTGTGTCTGCTTAAGTTCGCACAGTATGGAAAACTTTTTTATTATTGATTTCACGAAAAAAGTTATCCTTTATAAAAAGTTCTGCACGGTCTTAAATCTAAAATTCAACCTTCAGATAATAATTTGTCTCAGTCGTATACGCGGTTTCTCAAAAAATGTGAATTTGGCTCAGGAGTGAATTACTTTCATTTGATATTGAGAAAAGTTAATCAGAACTAAAAACTTCACTCTAATATACAACTACATCCAATCACATTTCAAGTAACTATAGCTACGTGAACTACGTAACTATAGTTACGTGAAATCTAGAATGAAATGATATCTTGATAGCAAGAACTGTTTGACAGTGAACGTCAAATGAAATTTGTTAATATATCGGTGATATTTAGAATGGCAGAAAAAGAAGAAATTGTGTTGATTGTTGATGATGATATAAAACTTTTCGTGAAGCTGGTGAAATATTAAACAACAGACATCTACTGGAATCAATCAATTTTTATTACTTAATAACCTGTAATTCAGAGAAAAATATACACCATACATCAGTAATGAGAATTATGGAAAAATTCAAATCATGCGGAGATGTTAATACCAAATTGACAAACAAACATCGAAAACTTGTTGAAAGTGATGAGATAAGTTAAATGTAAGGTTATCTGCAGTGGAAAAACCCAAATTGT